AGACTCGGGGAAAACACTGGAGACTCTGGACCTTGGAGCTCGGGAACGTAGACTCGGGAACTAGGGCACGTAGACTCGGGAACTCGGGGATGTGGAACGTAGACTCGGGAACGTGGAACTCTGGAACATAGACTCGGGAATGTGGAACTCTGGAACATAGACTCCCGAACTCGGGAACGTGGAACTCTGGAACATAGATTCCAGAACTCGGGAACGTGGAACTCTGGAACATAGACTCGGGAACGTGGAACTCTGGAACATAGACTCGGGAACGTGGAACTCTGGAACATAGACTCTGGCGAGGCTGCAGCAGCGGGACTCTGACGAGGCTGCAGCAGTGGGACTCTGACGAGGCTGCAGCAGCGGGACTCTGGTGAGGCTGCAGCAGCGGGACTCTGGCGAGGCTGCAGCAGCGGGACTCTGGCGAGGCTGCAGCAGCGGGACTCTGGCGAGGCTGCAGCAGCGGGACTCTGACGAGGCTGCAGCGTGGAAGGCCTGCAGGTATATACCCTGCAGGCGTAGACCGGGAAGTTGGTGAACTGAGGCAGCGATACGAAGAAACCAGGATGGGCGGCAGGTACTCGACAACGGTCAGAGCAGGTGCACATCACGATCCGCTGGGTCCACAGGCGGAAGCTCGGGTGAAGGGAAGCAGAAGAGGAGCATGGAGACCAGCATTACCACCCCGGAGAATGTTGGTGTGTGTAGGGGGTTTTACTCCACCAAAACTCCAGGATCTGCAGTTTCCGTGGAAAAAACAGGATGGGCGAGCAGCAGGAGAGGTGAATGGGTTTGACCACCCCAGTAACAGGTAGGATTCGTCAAAAAACCTTCAATGGGTTCGACCACCCCGGAAACAGGTGGGATGAGCCGAAAACCCCTCGAGTCAGAATCTCCTTCCGCTGGACGTAGACAAAGCAAAAAACTTATAATCCTCCGGGCAGATGTTAGAGCTCACCACAGGTCTAGGTTGGTCGGATCATTCTGTCATGTTGAGGTGTGGGATGCAACGGACCATGTGTGGTGGAGCTGACCAGGAGGCAGGAATGCAGGCTCAGGTAACATAAAAATGGATTTAATGGCAGAGGAGACAGCAGGAACCACAAGACACAACAACAATGATCCGACAACGCACACATACAAGACGGGAGATATAAATACATGGGGAACCATCAGAAACACATGGGCAGGTTAACAAGGGGCAGGTGAGACCAATAAAACCTAATCAGGGGCAGGAGAGGGTAGGAGTCAGAGGGAGGTAGGAGCAGATCGTAACCCCCCCCCCCCCTTAAGGGGCGGATACCAGACACCCACAAGACCCACATAACTCGGAGGACCAGGGGACCAGGGATCCGGAACATGGAGGCACAGGGGCCTCGAAACGAAGACACAGGAACACTGGAGACTCGTGACGTAGACTCGGGAAACACTGGAGACTAGGGAAACTCAGGGAAGCACTGAAAATTCGGGGCCTAGGGGGCACTCTGCAGACACAGGGACTCTGGAGACTCGGGGAAAACACTGGAGACTCGGGAACTTGGAGCTCGGGAATGTAGACTCGGGAACTAGGGGACGTAGACTCAGGAACTCGGGAATGTGGAACATAGACTCGGGAACGTGGAACTCTGGAACGTGGAACTCTGGAACATAGACTCGGGAACTCCGGAACGTGGAACTCTGGAACATAGACTCGGGAATGTGGAACTCTGGAACAAAGACTCCAGAACTCGGGAACGTGGAACTCTGGAACATAGATTCCAGAACTCGGGAACGTGGAACTCTGGAACATAGACTCGGGAACGTGGAACTCTGGAACATAGACTCGGGAACGTGGAACTCTGGAACATAGACTCTGGCGAGGCTGCAGCAGCGGGACTCTGACGAGGCTGCAGCAGTGGGACTCTGACGAGGCTGCAGCAGCGGGACTCTGGCGAGGCTGCAGCAGCGGGACTCTGGCGAGGCTGCAGCAGCGGGACTCTGACGAGGCTGCAGCGTGGAAGGCCTGCAGGTATATACCCTGCAGGCATAGACCGGGAAGTTGGTGAACTGAGGCAGCGATACGAAGAAACCAGGATGGGCGGCAGGTACTCGACAACGGTCAGAGCAGGTGCACATCACGATCCGCTGGGTCCACAGGCGGAGGCTCGGGTGAAGGGAAGCAGAAGAGGAGCAGGGAGACCAGCATTACCACCCCGGAGAATGTTGGTGTGTGTAGGGGGTTTTACTCCACCAAAACTCCAGGATCTGCAGTTTCCGTGGAAAAAACAGGATGGGCGAGCAGCAGGAGAGGTGAATGGGTTTGACCACCCCAGTAACAGGTAGGATTCGTCAAAAAACCTTCAATGGGTTCGACCACCCCGGAAACAGGTGGGATGAGCCGAAAACCCCTCGAGTCAGAATCTCCTTCCGCTGGACGTAGACAAAGCAAAAAACTTATAATCCTCCGGGCAGATGTTAGAGCTCACCACAGGTCCAGGTTGGTCGGATCATTCTGTCATGTTGAGGTCTGGGATGCAACGGACCATGTGTGGTGGAGCTGACCAGGAGGCAGGAATGCAGGCTCAGGTAACATAAAAATGGATTTAATGGCAGAGGAGACAGCAGGAACCACAAGACACAACAACAATGATCCGACAACGCACACATACAAGACGGGAGATATAAATACATGGGGAACCATCAGAAACACATGGGCAGGTTAACAAGGGGCAGGTGAGACCAATAAAACCTAATCAGGGGCAGGAGAGGGTAGGAGTCAGAGGGAGGTAGGAGCAGATCGTAACGCCCCCCCCCCCCCCCCACGCCCCCCTTAAGGGGCGAGTACCAGACGCCCACAAGACCCACATAACTCGGAGGACCAGGGGACCAGGGATCCGGAACATGGAGGCACAGGGGCCTCGAAACGAAGACACAGGAACACTGGAGACTCGTGACGTAGACTCGGGAAACACTGGAGACTAGGGAAACTCAGGGAAGCACTGAAAATTCGGGGCCTAGGGGGCACTCTGCAGACACAGGGACTCTGGAGACTCGGGGAAAACACTGGAGACTCGGGAACTTGGAGCTCGGGAATGTAGACTCGGGAACTAGGGGACGTAGACTCAGGAACTCGGGAATGTGGAACATAGACTCGGGAACGTGGAACTCTGGAACGTGGAACTCTGGAACATAGACTCGGGAACTCCGGAACGTGGAACTCTGGAACATAGACTCGGGAACTCCGGAACGTGGAACTCTGGAACATAGACTCCAGAACTCGGGAATGTGGAACTCTGGAACATAGACTCGGGAACGTGGAGCTCTGGAACATAGACTCTGACAAGGCTGCAGCAGCGGGACTCTGGCGAGGCTGCAGCGTGGAAGGCCTGCAGGTATATAACCTGCAGGTGGAGACCCTTCAGGTGTAGATCCTGCAGGCGTAGACCGGGAAGTTGGTGAACTGAGGCAGCGACACGAGGAAACCAGAATGGGCGGCAGGTACTCGACAACGGTCAGAGCAGGTGCACATCACGATCCGCTGGGTCCACAGGCGGAGGCTCGGGTGAAGGGAAGCAGAAGAGGAGCCGGGAGACCAGCATTACCACCCCAGAGAATGTTGGGGTGCGTAGGGGGTTTTACTCCACCAAAACTCCAGGATCTGCAGCTTCCGTGGAAAAAACAGGATGGGCGAACAGCAGGAGAGGAGAATGGGTTCGACCACCCCAGAAACAGGTGGGATGTGCCGAAAACCCCTCGAGTCAGAATCTCCTTCCGCTGGACGGAGACAAAGCAAAAAACTTATAATCCTCCGGGCAGATGTTAGAGCTCACCACAGGTCCAGGTTGGTCGGATCATTCTGTCATGTTGAGGTGTGGGAGGCGACGGACCATGTGTGGTGGAGCTGACCAGGAGGCAGGAATGCAGGCTCAGATAACATAAAAATGGATTTAATGGCAGAGGATACAGCAGGAACCACAAACCGCAACAACAATGATCCAACAACGCACACATACAAGACGGGAGGTATAAATACACGGGAAACCATCAGAAACACATGGGCAGGTTAACAAGGGGCAGGTGAGACCAAAAAAACCGAATCAGGGGCAGGAGAGGGTGGGAGTCAGAGGGAGGTAGGAGCAGATCGTGACAGAACTCTTTCTCTGAAATAATTCAAGACCCTTTATAATATTCTCAACTCTCCAGCCAATCTCCTTTTCCCATCCTGGTTTTAAAATACCCCCACAACTATCATTATGGCCCTTTAAATGGCACCAGCAAGGTAAAATTCATTTTCTAAACTGAAGCAGCATTTCTCCCATTTCCATCTGTGAGGAGTTATTCTAAACCATCCATTCATTTTTTTATACCCGCTTATCCACTTAGGGTCATGGGAGGCTGGTGCCTATCTCTAGAAGTCTCTGGGCAAACAGGCGGGGTACACCCTGGACAGATTGCCAGTCCATCGCAGGGTGACAAAGAGACACAAAGGACAAACAACCATGCACACACACACACACTCACACCTAGCAGTTTAGACAGACCAATGAACCTGACTCATGTTTTTGTACTGTGAACTGTGGGAGGAAGGTGGTGTACCTGGAGAGAACCCACGCATGCACAGGGAGAACATGCAAACTCCATACTGAAAGACCCCAGGCTGAGATTTGAAACAAGGACCTTCTTGCAGCAAGGTAACAGCGCTAACCACTGAGCTACTGTGCAGCCCTTGTTCTACATCCCACCCACATAGTCTCAAGGCTTATTACTGAAGGTTATTTAGTATTTTGAGTAACGAAACAGACACTGATAAACTTACGCAATTACTTAATAGTAATAAATACCATCATTTATATTTGTCTCTAATGAAATGTCTTGGACATTTTATTTTAAATATTAAAATCCAACTAATTTAAACCCCCTTGATTATAAGCATTATTAAGTGTACATTTGTTCAAGTAATGAGAATTTTTTTTCATGATTAAATTATAGTGTTAGCCTGGCCAGCCAGCCCCATGCTTCCTTATGGGAAGTATTGGGTTCTCTGTCCAGAATTAAACAGAGGACGAGTCTGGCAGGCCAGGCTAATACACAATAGATTTAATAGATTTTATGAACGATTTATCACGTTTGCTGGTCATACCTAGCCTAGTGAACTCTTGCTTTGCAAAGTAATATATTTATTTAGTCTGGATTGCCAGGTTAGGTCATAGCAAGAAAACTCTTTTGTTTTAGATGAGTACATTTCAGAGACAAATCTCTAATACACAGTATAACATTTATTCTTGATTTGTGGAATGTTGAAAGTTAGACGTTACACATTCAAACAGATTTTTTACAAATACTAATACCAAAATATAGTACTTTTCCTTTTGTTGGCGAGTCTAACCATTGGGTTGACGAGCAGCTAATTAGGGGATGTGTTGACGCGTCCTCAGAGCCACTCCAGTCCAGGTTTCGATTCAAGCGACTTTATTAGTTGTCAGTTAGTTGTTTACCTCAATCAACGTTCATAAGCATCACACAACAAGAGAAATGAAAAGATCCACAAAGTAGAGATAATAATCTATGCAAAAAGCATTTGAGCGGTCAGCAAAGGTTGACTTCCCCCATCACCTGTTCACTACACAAAATTCCCACGCATGTGCGCAACAGGTAAATAACAATCGATAGACATCACATGACCCGAGACTACTATCCCCCACACCTTTTATGTGAATACTTTCAGTCTCTACATGGAAACAGCCATCTTCAAGGGCGAATCTTTCAGAAAAAAGGATCATCGGTTGCCTGGTGAGTTTATAGCATTTCATTTCCTGACCTGGGAGATAGTGACTTCATCAGACGAATCGATTTTAAAGTTCTTTTGTTCGTTTTTAAAGCCTTACATGGCTTAGCTCCGTCATATTTGGCCAAGCTACTTTGTGTGTACGAGCCTCCTCGCGTACTTCGATCGACCAATCAGATTTTGCCGGTTGCTCCGACAGCAAAAATGAAAACAAGAGAGGACAGAGCTTTTGCAGTTGTAGGCCCAGGGCTGTGGAATGCTCTGTCACTAACCATTAGAATGTCCTCCTCAGTTGAAGTGTTTAGAAATAGGCTTAAGACACAGTTTTACACTAGCTTTTAAGCACATTGCACAGTAATCAGTGTTCACATTTGTGCCTCTGTGTTCTTATTGTTTCAGTAGTAGTGTTTTTAATAATATTACTGTTTTGTTTTGTTTTGCTAATGTTTTTATGTGTGTAGTGTTCAGCACTTTGGGTATCCTTTGGATTGTTAAAAGTGCCATACAAATAAAGATGATGATGATGATGATGATGATGATGATGATGATGATGATGATGATGATGATGATGATGATTTTGAATATGAAGATCCTCCAAGGGTAATTCTTGATAACATGGTTACTTTTGATTGCTGAAAGAATTAGGGGGCGGGGTTATAACGGGATTTTGTTTTATTTTTTTCGGACTTTAACTTTTTGGAAAATTTCTCAACAAATATTTTTTGACAGTTTTCAGATATTTTATTAGTGATTTTAATTGTATATGTAATGTTTCGGTTTAATTATTTCTATTTTATAGGTTATAGTACAAAAAGAGGGGAAAAACACGCTCATCTGTATGAAGGTGCTGGATTAGGCGTTGAGATCAATAAAGGAAAAACATTTGCACACTTGTATCTGCAAAAGTAAATATTTATTGATCAAGCTTTCGGTTAGAGACCTTCATCAGGAGCGCATCTTACTGCAATTTTGTTGAATAAAGGTTTTACAAAGGGGAAAAAAACTGACTGATCTGTACTTTAACCAATCGTCATTGACATGACGTAGTTCATCTTGTCCAATAGCTGCCGAGTAGGAGGGGCTAGTTAGATCACCGGCAGAATAAGATCAATAATGCTTTTTTATATACTTTTGAAGCTAGGCTACACAAATCACAACTGCCTTGCTAAATGCTAAATATTAAATAAAATAAGCCCTATATCTGTGCTCTTTTAGTAACAATAAACCACACGCTTGTGTTTTTAAAAATCTTAATAAATTCCGTGAATTATTGCCATCACGCCCACGGTTCCTGTTTACCACACGGTGAGTAAATTCATTTTTTAATTATCTGTTACATCAGTGGAAGGACCCTTTACTGAGCAACATTGCACGTTTTTAAATCCTATAAACATTTTTATTGGTTGCCACACAATAACTCTGTATTAGTCAGTATTGAGCTAGATTTAGCTGATCTGAAACGTCCTAAATACAAACAAAAACAAAGAGCATTTTGCAGACTGATTTTTTTTCTTCTTCATTTCTCTGTGGTCTAACGGTGCAGCAGGGGAGGCTGATGAATAAACAGATCGATGTCATCTAAGCTTTCTTCCCTGATCATTGATCTAAATGGTCTGATTACTCTAATAATTTTGAATGAAGGCAACTGACTTCTTTTGTCAATGGAATAGGCTATCCATTGTGTGTGTGTGTGTGTGTGTGTGTATATATATATATATATATATATATATATATATATATATATATATATATATATATATATATATATATATACATGTATATATGTATATATATATATACATGTATATATGTATATATATATACATGTATATATGTATATATATATATATATATATATATATATATATATATATATATATATATATACATGTATATATGTATATATATATATACATGTATATATGTATATATATATACATGTATATATGTATATATATATATATATATATATATATATATATATATATATATATATATATATATACATGTATATATATATATATATATATATATATATACATGTATATATGTATATATATACATGTATATGTTGCCTTCTTGCATAATGAGAAGTGTTCATTAGTCTCTTCATGTGTAAAATCAAGTGTTGGATTCTCTTCTGTCAGCTCTCTTGGCACAAAGCTTTTGTCCACTCAGTACCCTCGGTTTGGAACCCACGGTAGAAATCTTCCGTGAGTCAAAACTAAAAGTCCCTGAGACCAACTCCATCACATGCAGCAGTTTTATTTAAACTGCGTACCTTCACCAATCTGATTAATGCCAGTGATTTATATTTTCTGGGTTTAAATCTGGCAGTAGAAATCACAAGGAACTTGTTTTCTCTCTTTTGTGTTTTCTCATCCTAGTGATCACTGTTGTCCTATCCCTGAATGAACACAGAACTGATGTGATTTGTTTTCTGTCATTTGATCAGGAATGGCAGGAAGTCCTGACTCTAAACAGGATCACCCTGAGGACACAGTGCTTCATCTCCAGAGCTACTTACGTGGAGGAACATCCAGTTTGCTCTCTGCCCTTCCCACTGTCATCGTTTTCCCGGTCTACAAGATCGTTTTCCGTCAACAAATCCACAACAGTCCCATTCGCCATGTGGTGGGACAGCTCTGTAAGGAGGGACCTGTGAAGCTCTACAGGGGCGTGGCTCCACCTCTGCTGATGAGGACACTAAACGGCACGCTGCTATTTGGCCTTCAGGACACACTCTTCCGTCAGATCTCCCTCTCATCACCCCACGTCCTCTCTGCTGCCCTTCTACCTGCTCTGGCTGGGTTTGGTGCAGGGATGGTGGAAGCCATGGTGTTTACCCCATTTGAGCGTGTTCAGAACGTTCTGCAGAATGGCCAGAATGACCGTCAGCTTCCCTCCATGAGGAGCATTCTGGCGAGGCTGAAGGAGCAGAGGGTGCAGCATGGCTTCTACAGGGCCTTCCTCCCCATCACGGCCCGGAACGCCTTGGGAAGCTCCCTCTACTTTGGCCTGAAGGATCCAGTGTGTGGCGTGGTGGCCGGACAGGGGCTCTCTCCTTTGGCCTCTTCCTTCATCTCAGGAACGTTGACCTCCATGGCGATCAGCTTGGCTCTGTATCCGCTGTCTGTGCTGGTGGCAAACATGCAGGCGCAGGTGGGAGGGGAGGCGAAAGGCGCTGTGGCTTGTTGGAGAGGTCTGTGGAAGTCTCGGCATCGGAGCGTGCTTCTTTTGTACCGAGGAGGATCTCTTGTCATCCTGAGATCGTGCATCACGTGGGGGATCACCACTGCCATTTATGACAGGCAGGAGAAGCCATCCTCCTAGAACCAGTTAGGCTGTGAGATCATAGGCGTCATTTTAACCGGGGACGCCGGGGACATGTCCCCGGCAAAATTTGTGATTGGCAGCTGTGTCCCCCCCACTTTCAAAAACGCCTGCTGATGAGGATTTTTGTTTTACCAGCTCAGATCTTATACCAGGGGTCGGCAACCTGTTCCCATCAAAGAGCCATTATTACCCGTTTCCCACAGTAATTCTGGACTGACCTTAATAAGCAGTGACTTAAGTGAAGCAGGCAGGTCGTGCTAGAAAATTTTGTTTAAAAAGACGTCATAAATGTGTTCCCCCGTCATTTTTATTTATAAAATATGAAGTGAAAACTCCCAGTTTAATTTTCATTCATTTGTCATTTATATGTAGTCTACACCCGTACGTTAAGTGGACCATCTTCCAGTAAAAGCAAAGCATCCAGCCCACCTCTCCAAATGCATAAAATGTGCATCAGCCGCTAGTTAGGCGCGCCGCGCGCACCATCAGCTACGTCAGCCCAGACAAGAGCAGAGCAAATAGAGAAAGAATAGAGGATAATTGTGTCTGGATGTGGATGGAGATTACATTTTACAGCAGCCTGATCATCATTTAAATACATAAACCATCACCTGTCTTCTAGTCCACACTATCAGCATTATTTTAATTGGTGTGTGTGTGTGTGTGTGTGTGTGTGTGTGTGTGTGTGTGTGTGTGTGTGTGTGTGTGTGTGTGTGTGTGTGTGTGTGTGTGTGTGTGTGTGTGTGTGTGTGTGTGTGTGTGTGTGTGTGTGTGTGTGTGTGTTTTCCACTTCAAACACTGGTCTAACCAACCAGACCAGCGTGTCCAGTAACATATTAATGTTACAATTAAACAGTTTCACTTCATGTAGGCTAGGAACATTTCACCTGCCGTGGCCCGACCGCTTCTGCTCCACATAAACTTTGTGCGTAATCAAATGTCTCTACAGGTGCTTTCTGAGGTGAAGAGGCTATTCTGCCTCAGACTGGATGCATCATGCGTCTCCATGTTGGAGACAGGGACAAGCGCTGTTCAGCCAAAGTTTCATAATCAGAGAACATTTTTCCAAGTGACACATCCCTCAGAGAGACCGGGTTTCCAGACCGCTTCAGTGGGAGGAAATCTTATCGCATGCGCTGTGGTTCTGCGCTGCGCTCCGAACCCCTCTTCAGATCTTCAGCTCACTGTCCACCGTGGGCGCTCCGAGCCGCGCTGAACACATGTCCAGTATAAAGCTCTGATGTTCTGATGGGAATCAAGTTACCTCTGCGATGCACGTTAACGATTAAAATGTCAGCTCATCCATGCGCATCAGTGTGCGTCGGGGTAATTCTTTCAAAACAACCAACATCCTTGAGTTTATCCGTCAAAATAAAAGTCAAATGTAAATATCTGTAACCTGCCATTTAACTGTTTTGCCTTCTTGTGAAGACTGTTGCAAAGAGAAACAACTAAACCTGATTAACCCCAGAGCCACGCGCACTGCACTGTAGTGACTGTAAATGAGGGGAAATGATTTAATCGGATCATTTTCTTTTCATCATGGTTTAATGTAAAGTTTCATTCAGTACAAACTTTAGTTACACCAATCTAACGAGACAGAGCCTGGATTTGTATTCTGAACAGTTTAAACATGTTTAAAACGGAGACATGCGTGACGCGTCTAAAATTCGCACCTGCTCCGCTATTATGGAAATTAAACTAACAAGATGAATAACATGAAATTATTTTAGGCACAGACAACATCCCCCACACTTTTGAAAAGCTTGCAACGCGCCTGGTCGCTTGTGTACGTCTAAGTTATCTTTCATAAGAAGATAATGGTAAATGGCCTGTATTTGATATAGCACCTTCTAGAGTCCTGGAACCCCTCAAGGTGCTTTACAACACAATCAGTCATTCACCCATTCACACACACATTCACACACTGGTGGGGATGAACTACAATGTAGCCACAGCTGCCCTGGGGTGCACTGACAGAGGCGAGGCTGCCGAGCACTGGCGCCACCGGTCCCTCTGACCACCACCAGCAGGCAACGTGGGTTAAGTGTCTTGCCCAATGACACAACGACAGACTGAGCAGGGCTCGAACCTGCAACCTTCCGATTGCAAGGCGAGCACTTAACTCCTGTGCCACCGTCGCCCCAATCAATAAAACGATTTATATAAAGTGGATCCAGAAGTTGTAGCCCGTCTCTGCCTACAATATTTTGATATTTTTCACCCTGTTGGTGGTTTTACTGAGCAGGTGCCACTTTTGTCATACGTTTCTTTTTAAAACATGTTAAGACTGTTCAGAATACAAATCCAGGCTCTGTCACGTTTGACTGTTGTAATTAAACTTTGTAGGTGGGGAAGGTCAGAAAAGGATCCGATCAATTTGTTTTTCCCTCATTTACAGCGACGGAGATAACGGTGCAGTGCGCCTGGCTCTGGTGTTAATCAAATTAAATTATATCTCTTTGCAACAATTTTCACAAGAAAACAGAACAGTTACTGTAAAAGCAGGGCTTGTGTTGACCGGAAAGTTCCCGTATTTGACAGTTTATTTTGACGGAGAAAGAATAGAAAGAATTACCCCAACGCATGCAGACGAACTGACATGTTATTCCACTTAAATCGCAGATGTAGCTAAATCACTCAAGAAATGATTCCCATCTGAACATCTGAGCTGGACACTGCTACGGGCAGCTCACTGTCAGCGTGTACTACATAAGGTCCACAGCGAGCTGAAGATGTGGAGAGCGGCTTGGAGCGCGTTGCAGAACCAGAGCGCATGCGGGAAGATTCCTCCCACTGAAGCGAGTGTTTTCCAAACCCTGTCTCTCAGAGAGACTTGTCACTTAGAAAATGTTCCCTGATGATGAAACTTTGGCTGAATAGCGCTTGTTCCTGGCTCCAATGTGGCGACACATCCAGGAGCCGTCTGAGGAGAATCCCAGAATCTCACATTGTCTTCAGCTCAGGAAGCGCATATGATTACGCACAAGCGTGACGCGTCAACCCGGTCTCACAGTAAGACTGGGTTGGACCTGTTCAGGTTTACGCAGACAGTCTTTACATTTAGAATTGGCATACAGATGTAAAATTAATGCAGTAAAATTTAAAGCTTTTTATTTAAATATCCATTCATTATTGTACAAGCACAGAGAGCCGCATCAGATGGATGGAGGAGCTGCGGATTGCCGACCCCTGTGCTAGCCTACTTTATTGTCCCCAGCAATTTTTAAACCCCACTCAAGTGTATGGATATTGTCCCCAGCAATTCTGACAACAAACTGACGCCCTTGTGTGAGATAATCCGTTTTATTCCACTTCATCTCTTATAAACATGCAAATGCTGCCTCCATCTTTAAGCCTTTTTTGTATTACTTACACCTTCTGTACAACAGATTCCAGGAAAATCTCAGGTGTTCCTCAAAGCTTCAACTGTGTTTCCACTTGAATGACTTGAACCGGATCCATAGCCTCTACTCACACATCAGCCGTAGTCACATGTCTGGTTTAATCTCAGTGACTTTAAGGATTTCTCTCAAAACCATCAAGCTGCCATCAGCCCCAAAGAGCATTTCTCATGGAGCACGATTCTCAGTGTGATGCAGACGAGTCACATGTGCCTTCTGTCCTTCAGGACAGCTTCAGCGGATGTTCTCTGAGATCAAAGATTTACTGAAAGAAGAATTCCTGAAGAATTAAAAATTCTTCTTCGCTTCAGTTTTAGATTAAAATAGAAATTTCTTCAGAAACGTTACTCAGAACTGGCTGCGTTATTGGGACACCAGGCAGAATCAGATCATCTGCAGCTGATATTAATCCTTTAATTAATGCCAAGCAAGGTTCTGAGTCATGCCTTTAGCTGGCTGTGTGTACACGCCTGAAGCATGTTTATGAGGTATTAACAAATCCATTATATCATTTATAGATAATCTGTCTGGGTTTGAAGGTGCAGTAAGTTAGCCGTATTTGACTGAAATTAACAGCAGGTCAACAAAAGGAAGTTGTGAGGTGTTTTTTATTCATGCTGCACATTCATTCGTGTGCAGACTTTCCAGGATTTTAAATTGAAGTTAAAAATTTCAAATGCTGATTATTTTTTTATATTTGAATACTGAATGTTTTGTTTGTTCCTTTGTTAAATGCAACCCAACTGACTTGGGTTTAAATGTCCCCCTTTCTAACTTTTGTGATTATATTAAGGCCTACAGGTACGGGTTACCATCCTTGTGCAAGATGGGGATTTTTATAGTTTTTTTTTCTAAAGTTGGAACATGCATGCGCTGTTTCTTCATAAAAGCATTCTGCAGAGCGTGTTAGCTCCCTGAGGCCTTTCTGTCCCTGGGTGGGGGGGTTTCAACATGTCTGTGCAGATGTGCAGACACATCCTGACTCTGTTAAGGATGAAACCAACTGCTGTGCGCTCGCATCTGTTGGTGCTGATTAATAAATGTGAGAGAATGAAGTCAAACTGATTAGAAAATACAGACTTTTATTTTTAAATGCTCTAATAAACTCATCTCATCAGTCACGGCTTGGATTTCTGGTCTTAACTCGAGTGGTTTTAGTCACGGTGTAGTGCCGGCATGTGTCCACTAGATGGCGCTAAGTTGATGTCTGTGTTTTGGCTGAGACCTTGATCGTTCGTTCATCTCCAGAACAGAAACACCTCGCTCAGGGAACAGCCCGTGTTTGGGGGGAGGGGTCCAGTAGAAATTCCCCCTGAGAGCTGCAGGAGCCAATCAGAAGCGGCGCCCCCCTGGTCCGTGTGGCGTGCAGAAGGGCGTGTTTTCCCTATTTAAACCGTGAGCTTTGCACGGATTACACACACGCATTTTACCTGAAGAGGACTTGTACAGCGCTCTCCTGCACCAGGTAACAACTTCACATTTATAGTGTATTATCTGCTGAGCTCATCTAGATCTAAAGGGATGAATCTGTATAAATCAGATAGAAACTGATCGTTTTATTGTTACACACGCAGACAGGCATTTGTGTTGCGCAATTTTATCTTGCTGAGGTGCACAAAACCACGTCAGTGCTGCATCACGCAACCGCCTCAGCTCTACCTGGAGACGCTGCATTCCTCCACAAGCAGCAGCCGGTTTCGCTGCATGCTGTGAGCATCAGTGCAGCTTTCTCTGTCGTGCATGCATGCCCGTCACTCCTGAATAAATACAGCACCTGCATGCTGCGCAGTCCTCTGAGCACACATGGATTTAGATAAGGCATCACTCACACAGTATCAGCGCAGAAAACATGATTAATGCAGCCAAACCTTTTCTCTTGGGCTGGATCTACCTAATAACTGAACATGAATACAAATGAGTGTCACACCAACAGCAGGTTTAAACTCACACCCTGCTGCAGCTCTTTGATAGCACATGTCATCAAACATGGCTCTGGTTTTCTGCCTGTTCCTCTGAGGTGGGGCTCAGTGGGTGTACACCTGTACGGGCACAGGCACGCATCCCAGCCTGCGTGTCAGCTATGAGCACATTTAAATGGATTTTTCTTCATTTGCATTCTCACGCGCCGCTTTTTGTCCCACAGAACTGTTCCAAAATGGGCGACAGCAACCCAGTCAATGAAGAAGTGGAGAACTTTAACAAGAAGAAGCTCAAGAAGACTAACACTCAAGAGAAAACCAGGCTCCCGACCAAGGAGGGTAGGTGTTGAGAGGATAGGAGGAGGGGAATAAAAAGAGTAGCTCTGTCTTGTCCACACCTGTTTCACATTTCACCCTTTTTTTTATTTGGATCCATTATGCTTCAACTCCTCCCTTTGAATCACTGTCAGGAAAACATTGCGTCAGAGTGTAGGTGGAGGTACACACCCATATACCTGAGAACTAGTTTCTTTAACAGCAGAATGCTACAAAGGGTTATTTATTAGGAAGTTCTTGGCTGTTTTACAGCCACCATGTGATCAATTGGACAGGTTACAGATGCTTAAGATAAGACAGGAAGTAAAAAATCAACTGATTAGACAGAAAAAGGTTGTTTTAGATTTAAACGTGACCTGAAAAGATGTTCACCCTTCCCTCCAGAGGCCGACAGCCTCCCTGCTTCCTGAATATTTCCTTTTTTTAAATCTAAATCCAGCCCTGAATAGTCCGTCACCAAGGAGGCCCAGAAGCAGGCGCGGCCGGCAGCTTCACACCTCCCGACCAGGAGAGCTCCGTCAGGTTGCACCGAGAGCAGGAGGAGCTTGTGTCAGGAGTCTGCAGCCTGTTTTAGCACTCGTTTACTTTGTAGGTTTTACTGATCATTTCAGTGGGTTATAAGTTTATTTTTATGTGAAACAGCTTTTGCATGTGTTCCAAACTGTTTATTAATATTATTGTTGTTTCTTTAATGTTTTTTTTTTAAAGAATGACAGGTTGAAGAAAAGTCAGTAAATAACATAAACTAGCCTGAACAGCTGGTCCACCGTTTGGGTAGCCCCCGCTTACATTTAGGTAATAAGTGAGACAGGAACCTTCTAGATAGTTGTGCCTTTGTAGTTTTGATTAAAGTGGTAATTACTGGCGTTTTCCTGCACTGTTGCCTTCCAATGAAATGAAAAGTTAAAAAAGAAACTCTTCTGATAACGAGCTGACAATGTGCTCTGTAGCAGCCGCTGTGGAGCCAAACTACCAATCATTTGTAAAAATATTTATGCTTTTATTAAAAAACTAAATTAATCAGTAAACAAATGCATGAATAAAGCAAATGACTATATATATTTTTTTTCATTTTCACTGGTACTTTTTATAAACTTGTGTTTTTGAAACAACACTCAGTTTTCTTCAGGATACAGAAACAAACATTTGAGCCCCTTTGACACTCTGGTCAACCACTATTTCTATTCAGCTTATTGAAGGATAAACTAAACTGAAAATAATTGACTAATCATAAACAGTGAGGCAGTGCATGAATGAAATGTCCAACATGTAGGTAATAAGTAAATGATACGAGGCGGGAGTTGTTACTTCAGTAGTAGTATTTTTACATTACTCTCACTTTAAAGCCTATCATAACCTTTATAGCCCCGGATCAATTAAAAATCCAAAAAGGCGCTTTGCTATGGTCTTGTTGATGATATTAAAGGGTTAATCTATCTTCTCGTCTTTTCTACAGACATTTTTTAACAGTGGCTTTGGTGTGTTTTGTAAATCTCTTGATGCTGACGTTGAAATCACAAGTTAAAAGTGATTCTATGATCATGAGTACAATTATTTTCTGTCTTTATTCAGAAATTGAAGAGGAGAAGAAAGCCATGAAAGAGACCAACTGAAACGCTTCTCCAGCCCTGCTGCATTTACCGCTCGTCTTCCAATCAGGAGTTCTGTCATTCCGACCTGTTTTCCATGTCGCCGTCGAATGCTGTATAAGATGCCACTACGGGGAATTAATCCCAGTTATAACGATGCAATGGGTGCATTTCATTGTGTTCATTCTGTGGGCTTTAATGTGGGTAGATTGGTACTTGGTGTGTGGTAACATCTATACAAATTATAATGACTTACTCTCAGCAAAGCTTGCCTGTAAATGGTGCCACTGAGAAAATGTTGTGGAAAGAGAAGATCATATTTTTGTTTTAATAAAATCAGCGTGTCAAATGACTTTGTCTATATTCTTGTGTGGTCTGCTCTAGTCTAGTTTCATGAAACAATAATTCTGTCTTATTCATGCAGGGTAATGCATAAATACATACATACGTACCTGCATTGTATATGCATAAGTACATGCATACATACAAATGTACATGCATACATTATGTATGTATGCCTGCATGTATGTTTTTAAGTATGCAGACATACGTGCAGTTTAAGATGAAGCTTCTATTCAACCAAAACCCATGCCTTCACAACAAGTCCAAGCCTACAGGGGGAAAATAAGGAATGCATTGAGTAACAAAAAGATCAAATGTCATATTGTTAGCAAACGTTGAAGCCTAAAGTCATAGTAAGTTTTGAGTGGCATCCCAAGAATGAGCTCTTTTGAAAGCTTGCATCTCATTGCACAGCAGCAGTCATGTCTTTACTTGTGGTCGAGAAGCTTCGTAGAAACCTATGCAGAATGAGATTTAGTGTCAAGCCCTACTTTTGTGGAATGCTTATGTTGAAGTATGCTGTGTTTTTCCACACCGAGCCCGTTGAGACATGCTTTGCACTGCAGCATGCGTCTACTTGATGGCAAAATTATTTCTCTTGCTGGCTTTAGTTAGAGTTGAGCTGCTCAGACGTACAGCATCAAAACGAGCTCTTTAACAGAACAATGGCTTTCAAGACTGATTCTGATTTATTTCTATATGTTTGGAAATCAGCTTGTAACTGAAAAACAAAATGTTCCACCAGTGATTATCACAAGGATAGTGTGCTTGTTGTTGGCTGTGTTTAATTTAATTATCAGAAACACATGATCCCTGCCACTCACCAGGCAAGATTTTACACAGTTCAGTCCCTCCTCGAGTTTAATGCTGTCAACACAAAGTCAGCATTTAATTAGAAGCAGGTTTTACTTGAGCTGTACATCACTGTTATTATGTAAAGTGCTATGTGTCACATCAGCTATATGATTAGTTCATAACCAAAATTGTTTAAAATGTTATAATTCATCCTGAATAACGTAGGAACTGTGATCATGGTCTGGAAAAGGAAAACCCACCACAGCTGACAAAATATGCCAAAGGTTGAGGTATAAAAGATTTTCGTACCCTCATCACCCCTGAGCAACTTTTGCTAAAGTGTGTGTGTACACAAACCTTGTCAACATGCTTGCTGTGCTGTTGACCTAGCAAATAAGTTCCAAAAGCTAAAGTCAATTTGTTTTAAAAGAGTGGAGGAAATCATCAAATGAGCTTTTATTACAGTGATTTAGAAAATAACTGATTGTTGTGGAAAAGCTAAAATGCATGAGCATTACTTTTCAGTGCATGCATGCAGAAGCTGTTGAGGAGGGGGGTATCTTGTAATTATGAAAAAGAATGCAGTGAAATATTTGATTCAAATAGTAGAATATGACTCATTAAATAGTTCATCGTTTGCCCTTCTTTTATTGTGTTTTGTGTATTTTTAGTGTGTTCTCTCAAAGCCTATGTTCTGACTTTCATGTTTTGTCTTTGTTAAAGCGTAAAATACAATAAAATAAGAAACCATTTGATGTTTTGGGTGAATTTTGAATATGGGAGAAACAGCGACACCCAGTGGTAACTGTGACACGATAGTTTGTTGCAGTGTGACTTGTTGCCGTAGGGGGGCGCTAAAACACAGGAAACCCCGAAGGAAGAGGAGGCGGGCCGACAGCTCTGATGCAGGTTCTCTTCACTCGGCTACAAGTCCCTCATCAAGCTAGTTAGCCTTGCGACGTGCAGAGTGTTCCTGGTGATGCGCTCAATATCAACAAAAGAGAAAATGGATTAGCTGTTTAGCAATTTTATTTTTCATCTGTTTGGACAATCATTAAGAACCCGCTCACCGTTCCTGGGTGTAAATTGGCGTCTACATTCATGCCGTCGCTGGTTCTCTGTAAAGGAGCAGTTTGAGCTCCGAGTGGCGGGCAGTCAGCGTCTCTGTGGGGACAACACGGCTCAGCCACCGGTACGGTTGGTTGTTGGTAGCCTGCTAGCATTAGCATTTAGAGACACATTTACATGACGGGAGTCAACACCGTCTGTTTCATGAGTGTAGCAAATGACTAACGATGTGAGATAACGACAGGCTGTATGTGAATAACGAGTTTAACTTCGAGCTAGCGTGGAAAACTGTGGTAATAAATAGGAAATGCCAGCATCACCGTGTCAGTTCAACTCAGAGCTGATGTTTGCGTTGCTGGCCAACTTTTGCCCAGTTCACAAAATCTTCTGGGACATTTCTCTCTTGAACCCAGCGCATATTTGACGTGTGCCTTTCTCCTTAGAGGTGCGGCATGGTGGTCCCGGACAGTGGCAGCGTTGTCCCCCAGCCGGACAATGACCTCCCGGAGAACCCCGATCCAGGATGCCAGGTCCTAGGGGAAGGGGGGGACCTGGCAGAGGTGGAGATGGAGGAGGTCCGGAAGCTGCAGGAACTGGTTCGCCGGTTGGAGATCCAGAATGAGACGCTGCGCAGCAGGGGGGTCAAATCCTTCCTCCCCAAAGGAGCCAACAGCGACCTCAACGTCAACGACAGGCTGACGTATGAAGGGGTGACCAACAGCCAGCTCAGGCTGGAGCACGACGAGGAGCTGAAGCTGTTTCCTCCTCAAGAAAGCAGCAGCGGTGAAGAGATGTCACCTGTGCCTGTGGCCAGCCGGCTGGAGGAAGAGGGAGACCTTGGTCCGTGTGGGGGGTTTCTGTCTCTGACCTGTAGAAATGGAACGGGACTGCCTCAGGGCCAAGCCCAGACACCAGAGAGCCCATCTCAAGACAGCTATGGGTCAGAGACACTTGCAGAGAGCGACTCAGGGTTGGACCACACTGCTCTGGATGAAGTGGACGTCCTAGATCTGGAGGATGAGTGTGCTGAAGAGGAGGACGAGGACAGCTGGTAGGTCTTATGCCCAGGTTGTTTCTCATCATATATTGTGCTTTGAGTGCCACACTTTACACCAGATATAAAATAATGCAAGTAAAGGCGTAAGCGTGAAGGAGGAACACATTTATATGTTTTTCTTGTCTGTAGGTAAAGATGCCCCTGCAGTCAGATGAGTCACCTGTGTGCCTTTTCATTTGAACTTTTGATTTTAAAGTGTGCAACTCCCCCACAGGGCAGTGACTGTGTAGCATTTGCAGTTATAATAAGACTCAGCCTGCAGCTGGTTTCCTCTCACGTCACATAAAGCAGGTGACTTTTCCCAGAAACCAAAAAGCACAGCTGAAGAGAGGCTGCCCCCGTTCTCTCGTTTTTAGGCAAGATTCTGAATTAATGAGGCGGAAGAAACTGCAGCAGAGGTTTCATCTTTACGGCAGATGCGACTGTTTAGTCTGCTGCTGGCATCGAGTCGGCGGCGGCCACTTTTGCAGAGCTTAGCAGCTTCTGCAGCTTATTTTCAGATTCCCATTATTAGCAATACCATATGTGCTTTTTGGGGTTATCATAGCCAAAACACTGCGTAATCCCAGCAGCATCATAATCTGATCTGGGTTTGATGCTTGCCTGCGCCTGAACTGCTTTGTGGTGAATTTCACAGCGTGTGATCTGAGCCTGTGAGCAGACTGCCAGAGGGACTGGAACACTGACAGCGAGAACACGCGTTGTTTTTCTCCCGATTCCTTTTGTAAGCTTGTAATGGAGCTTTCCCACATTTAAAGTCACACTTGGGCCAAAACTCTAGTTTTAGTCTACTCCCAGGGTTGTCTCCGTGTTAGAATTTGTACATCAGCAAAACACTGGCTCCAAATGAGTTTAATAATAAGCACCTATTATTAACACTAGTTTGCCACATTCTACTTTACAGGCATGTTTTTATTTAGCCTTGTGAACCATACACACCTCTGCTCTTTCTCTGCAAAACCGTTTTAGTAAGGAGAAGAGGAGCGACAGAAGCTGTGTAGTAAACAAATAAAGGTGGAGTGTGTTCATTTGAGTGGGAGCATTCAAACGTGATGGGAAAGAGTTGATTCTTGTTTTACCAGCGAGACAAAAAGAGCAGGCCAGTCTCTGAGCGAGCCACTAGTACAGAAACGGAAAGGGACATGGTCTCTGATGGAAGAGGGTACCTGTGCTCAGTCTGAAGTAAACGGCAGCCCTCGAGGCCAGAAGGTGTTTGTCTGGAAACGCTCCTGTTATCTCTCAGCTCCAGAGGCTACTTCTGAAACATTTAAAAGTCAGATCGGCATCGGCATACACCTGTTAGACTCCCACAAACAGCTGATCGGATCCTCCCTGGTGTGTTTCTTTGTAGCTGCTTTATTCTAAAAGGAATTCATCCATAAATAAAACGTTTGTGTCCGTAGAGGGAGATGATTTAGCACCATGTCTCTGTGAAACTGAACAAAAGTTCTGTGTGTGTGTGTGTGTGTGTGTGTGTGTGTGTGTGTGTGTGTGTGTGTGTGTGTGTGTGTGTGTGTGTGTGTGTGTGTGCGTGCGTGCGTGCGTGCGTGTGTGTGTGTGTGTGCGTGCGTGTGCGTGCGTGCGTGCCCTTTATGTACACAACTCGTCCATGTGGTCAGCATCTCAAAGTTCTTCGTGGGCCATTGCTGTCGCCGTGGCAACAATAAACAGTTTACTGATCGATCGCTAGAATACAGGAAACATGATGTATGTGGCACTTCTGAGGATTTCTCTCATTTTAATGGTTTGTTGACTTTTTACAAATATTTGTCAGAGTTTGGATTTGTAAAAAGGTAAAAGTGGATTCAGCGTCGGACCATGATGGAAATGTTCTGGTCCGACTGAATCGACCTTCTGGATGTTTGTGTCCTCTCCCAGAAATCTCTTCAGTGGCCCGCGGTTCCTTCTGCCTTCAGTCATGCCTGATGTTGTGTACATTCTGCTGTTACTGGGTGCGTGCCTTTCACGCCAGCTCTTCACTAACGTGATGTTTGTCGGTTTAATTTTCTGCTTTGAAAACATCTTAAGAAGTTGCAGGTCGGGCTTTCCCCTCGTTTCCGTCTGGTGTTCACCGTTTTCTCCGGTTTGATCCTCTCTCCTCAGGCTGTACGTGTCTCCTAAAAAGCAGCTGGCAGATTCAGGTCCCGACTCTCCTCTGAAGTGGTGTCGGCAGGCTCTCGATCACCGCAGCCCAGAGACGGACCTGGCGTGTCGGACGCTGATCAGCCGTTTGGACCAGAGTATGCGCATCCATTCTGTTTTTTTCTTCATAAAATAAACTCTCTACTCCATCCAGATCCATTAGCAGTCAGTTAAATGATCATTTCTGCTGTCTGAGGGCTCGGTGGTAGCTGTGCGGTCAGAAGTTTACACCTGATCTCGTAAACCTTACTCATTATTTAGTTCCAGCTTCCTGCTGGCTGCAGAACCCGAACAACAAAGCTACTCACACCACGGCTGAATGAGCAAACGCAGTCCCAGCCTGGCTCGGGTTACCTTCTCTCTCTCTCCTGGGACTGCTTTCCTTTTTTAACAGCTGTTCACAAACAGCATTCAAACGGCTGAACATTAAGAAAATACCTCTGAGTGGAGAGAGCTTATAACCGCGGTAGGCGGATTGTTTTCCACGCTCCGGTGTGGCTGCAGTTGGGTGTCTGACCTGTCCTGTCCCCGCAGCGTCTCGATGGAGGAGCATGTACAGCGGCCCATCAGAGGCGGGCTCGGCCGGCTCAGGCCTGATCTCTCCTGGGTACCACAAATCCACTAACAAATCTCTACTAACCTGTGGCAGCTCAGGTATGGCATGACATTAACACGCCGCCCTGCTGTGGGGATGTTTCTCATTGACACACGTGTGTTTTAATGCTGGTGCGTTTCCAGGAGCATGCTGTTGTCCTGTTTGCACGAGGCTGCACCCTGGAGACCGATGTTCCAAACCCCTCTGGGCTGGTTTTTTTATTATCATTATTATTATTATTATCTGATAGCACAGATATCGTGGGTGATTGCTCACTTATTGCACGGCAAAGGTCGCTGACAGTTGGCCACTTCACTTCTGCGTTACTGCTCGGGTTTTTCATCCAAATGGTTTCAGTTCCAGACTGGGCCCGGAGCCAGAGCCGGTCCCAAACTGGTTCCTTGAGTTAAGAACGGGTTTGTTTCTGCTCAGCCAGAGACGCCTAAAACATTTGATCCTTCTTCTGTTGTATTCTGAGTTTCTGCAGAGGATCACAGAGCAGGGGGGACAGATTATCTTCCAGATTATAGGATTTATCTCTGTAAAGCACCAGTCTGGTTTATGAAGGCTGTTTAAAATTACAGTCTGTGTTTGTAAACACACCAGATGATGTTTTTATTGGTGATTGTTCCAGAACAAAGTGGTTTATATTTCTCTGTTGCTGCTGTAGCTCTGGTTTAAGGCCTCTCCACCGGGTCCAGGATAATGACACAATCTCTGAAATACACGTACGTTACACGCCAACTTTACTGAAAAAATGTGTTTTAATTATTATTTCTAATTATGATTGGCCACTGTAAGTTTGTCTTGCAGGCTGTTTGCGTTCAGAAGCCTCTTTTAGAAAACGATGCTGCCAGTTCGCCGCAACGCCGAGCCGGCATCAGGGAGCCTAACGCCTAGTTTATGCTTCTGCGTGGGCTCCACGAGGGGGAGACGAACACGGTCAGCCACTGTTTGCTCTCGGACTCCTCCGTCTCCTGGAGAGTGTTGCAAAGCAATTCCCCGCCAGGACAACAGAGCGTAGCGCTGCTCTGTGGTATCCTGTCATGTATCCGGCCCAAGATGGTGCATTTACTGTTGTGTTTATATTGCTTTTTGTATTTCAGAGATTTTTTAACAGGGCTAGAATTAGTCCCTCATTCTCCTCCAACTCTTCGTGCGCTCGCCACCTCTAAAAGCGAATAAAACGCTTGCTGCGTCTCTCCTCCAGTCACGGGGCAGTAATGTGGCGCAGTCGTGTCCTTTTTACAAAAGATAAGGTGATGGCGGTATAAAGGGGGTATGGGGTGACCCCTGCGCTGCTGCAGACTTTTGTTTATTTTGGACATACAGTGATCCCTCGTTTATCGCGGTAGATGCGTTCCAGACCTGGCCGCGATAGGTGAAAATCCGCGAAGTAGGGACACCCTAGTTACAGTATTTATTTAACAGGTACGTATTCAGTATTCAGACTTTTAAAACCCTCCCTTTACATAGTACTGTATTTTTACTTGTTTTTTTTATAGTTTTATTACAGAAAGTGCATTTTATGATGAAAATGATGAAAAAAAAAAAACGGGAATTTCTTGATATTTCGCATAGAAAAATACCGCAAATCGGTGAAAAATACCGCAAATCGGCGAATTTCCCTTGAATAAGGCTCCAAAGAAAAAATCTGCAAAGTCGTGAATCCGCGATAAACGAACCGCAAAGTAGCGAGGGATCACTGTAACTTGCTTTTTATTGCGATCCAAGCCGCGCTGTTTTGTAGCACGCCTCCTAAAGGCTTCTGTCCTCCTCAGTCCACATGCAGTCTCTGGTGATCGGACCTTTACTTTCATTTTCTGTATTTTTGCCAGTCGGAGCTGGGCATTAACTCTCCACATGATCACACCACCACCCTCTGTTGCGCCAATGCATTCACAAGTCCAGCATTGTGGTAATATAACTAAGCGTGGCGGCACGAATGCCACAAAATTCCCACAAATCCATGCCGCCACGGCGCGTTTATGAGACGCGCCGTGACGGCAGTATTGCGCTGATTTGCTGGCGTGGTGTGTCTTCTAAAAAGGGCTAGGTGCAAGATGTCCAAATATCAGAAAATAAGACTCAAGATCCTGTCGCCTGAAGCTACTCTCTCCTCCTGCTGACCTCTCCGTGCTGAAACAGGAGCACCAGAGCTTTATTTCCCCCCAGAGTACGACTTACTGGGCATTCGTTCCTACTAGAGACCGCAGCAAATGTATTAAAATACGAGTAAAGTTGGCCTTTAAAGGACGTGAATGTGTGTTATAACACTTGTGTAGTTTGTAAAATGTGCTATGAATGTGTCACATGTTTGTGTTTTTTTTTACTATAGAGGAAAAGTGTGGCTTGACTTGAGTTTTGTTCTTTCCTGAGAACAGCGTTTCTGATGTGAAACCCTGTAAAGAAAAATGTTTGCATGGATTAAAAATCTCAGCTTGTGACGCGTGATCCTGTTTAATCCCAGATTTTTACATAACCTCGTTGTTCTTGAGCTGGTTTTTGTGTCAGAAAGGGAACCTGCCACGTTTTACAGTGATGCTGACTCTTATAGTAATAGTAACTGTGTATTTGGGTGTAACAGGTACCCTTACCTGTAATTTCAGGTGTGACAAACATGAATTCAGCCCTCAGCTCCCAGTCATCCATAGACAGTGAGCTCAGCACATCGGACGACTCCATCTCTATGGGCTACAAGCTCCAGGACCTCACTGACGTCCAGATCATGGCTCGCCTTCAGGAAGAGAGTAAGTGTTTATTATTCGTGGTGACGAAGGAGGAAGCAGACAGAGTTCAGCCTGGAGCAGAATCTTCGTCACAAACCTGCTCCTGACAGCTTTTCCGTTTGGGTGGCAGGTCTGAGGCAGGATTACGCCTCTAGCTCAGCATCCGCGTCCCGCCGCAGCTCCACCACGTCCCTGCAGTCTCTGCGTCGGGGGGGCACCTACAGTGACCAGGAGTTTGACACTTACAGCCTGGAGGATGAAGAGGACGAGCTCAGCTCCGCGCCCCAGCGCCGCCATCGTTTCACCCCGTCACCGTTGGGCTCCCCCCGCTGCCTCTCTCCCTCCACTTCCAACCACGGGCAGGAACACGGCAGCCGACTCGCGGCGCCGCGTACGAGGACACCCAGACGGTCTCTTCAGGGTCCGAGCGCAGAGCTGCTCAAGTTTGCAAAGAGCGAAGGTAGCTAAACCCCCGAGAGTTCTATCTGTTCATCTGACACCTGGAGGATTCTCAATTTGTGTGTGTGTGTGTGTGTGTGTGTGTGTGTGTGTGTGTGTGTGTGTGTGTGTGTGTGTGTGTGTGTGTGTGTGTGTGTGTGTGTGTGTGTGTGTGTGTGTGTGTGTGTGTGTGTGTGTGTGTGTGTGTGTGTGTGTGTGTGTGTGTGTGTGTGTGTGTGTGTGTGTGTGTGTGTGTGTGTGTGTGTGTGTGTGTGTGTGTGTGTGTGTGTGTGTGTGTGTGTGTGTGTGTGTGTGTGTGTGTGGTTCCAGAGGAGTTGAGGCACAGCATGCCTAATCTGGCCCCCCGCACCAGCCTACGCTCCTTGGAGGCAGTCAGAAATAGCCGAAGCATGGAGGCTAACCTCCAAAGCTCTGGCAATCGCATGTCTCACCTGCCCCACTCCCCCTCTACAGGTAACCCCGCCCTCCTCACCTGAGCCTCCTCATCCATCTAACGCCTACTTTCCTTTGCATTCGGCCCGTGTCCTTCCGTCTCAGCCCTCCTGACCTCTGCGCGACCACAACAAGGAAATGACCAGAGCACAGACGCCAGTAGATCCATCCATCTCGCTGTGACCTTCCTGGTTAAATAAAGAATAAATAAATAAAAACAACAATGCATACAAAACATTCTTTTTGGGAAGGCTCGTCAGTCCCTGCCTGTCATGTCGAATGTTTATGGTAAACCTTTAATAATCACGTAGCTCACACAGCAGCCTAGCATCTGTTTCTGACAAACGTTTGAGTTTCTGGATGTTCGATTCAAATCCTTCCGGTGGTTCATGAGATATTTCCTTTTTCCCCATCTGGATCAAACATGTTATGCCTCCAACACTGATGATGTCATCATCACCTTTCCTCATGACCACAACCCCCCCAACCTAACCATTAATCTTCTACTGCTCCTCCAAAGCTTGTCTTCAACTCCTAAATGCCACAGAACGGTTTCTGTAACCTTCGAGATTGTGAAACTATTTTGCTGTTCTTTAAATCCAGGTATGACGTGCAGTCGTCTACGTACCAGTGGTCAGTCTCCGCTGTCCTTGAGGATGCCAGTTAAAGCTGTGACCCCCATGGGCTCCATGGCAGCTGGGCGCCAGTCCTCCAGAGGTCTGCCTGTGGTCCAGGCGCCTCCATCAGGAGGGGGCCACAGGGCACAGTCGACGGGATCCGCTAACGGAGGAGCTTACGGCCCCGGGAGGGCCTCGGTTGGGATGGGAAAGCCTGCGGTGGGTCGGGGCCAGGCTGTACCGTCGGTGTCTGCCAGAAGTAAACTCTCACAGCCTCCCAGGAGGTGAGTGTCCGTGTCATGAGAACGACACACAAGGTTTATCACGTGAGTGCTGCTAACATTACTCTGGTTGGCAGGTCTTTAGGTATGACTAAAATCTCAGATGAATCCTGGAAAGATGGCTGCTACTGATGAAGAGCGCTGACTTCTCCGTACAACAACACCCCACCGGCGTCCGCAAATGTGGCGCACGGGGTCTCGGTCCCTCATTTCAAACTGGGCTGCACTGGATTTCTAGTCTGTGTCTTTCCCTTGCATGAAACGTTGTGATCCCACACCAAAACAGGACGAGGAGCTGCACATCCTCACATCTGTTACGTGGGCCAACTCCGAGGTTCCTAACATACCTTTGTGTCAGTCAGACTTATTTTTCTATGGTGGCCGTGAGAATCTGCTGGAGTTTTAAGGGTTGTAGATGTTACTGATGTGAAGACCGTTGAAATGAAGATGTTGCTGGTTTGTACATTTTCTCTGTGAATTATAAAATGAAGGTGCTGAGTGTTGCATGCTGGGTTTAGTGGTTTTCCTTTAGCTACTTTAGCAGCTGTTTCCATCCTTCTCTAACTGCAATATGAAGAACCTCCGTGTGTCCAACCGCCATCTGTGGAAAATGATGAATATGTGAGGTTCATGGTGAATTTGTTAGATTTGTGTTGTGTTTGTGTTTTGCTCTTTGCTTACACAGCAATGCAACCATTGTAAACCACACTGCCCTTATAAGACGTGTTTGTATAAAAACAAAAAAAAGAGAATTATGGTTTGTGCCAAGGTGCATCACAGCTGCAGGTCTTTGGTTTGATAATTAACCTTAGACATCTGAAGGTACGCTACAGTACTACGTTTTCCAGGCATTTGTACTTCACATCTAGAGGTGGATCAGGCGTCTGCCTTTGGAAACCATCGTGTTAAAAAGTTTATGCACAGAGGCCTCGTGCCTTGGTCAGCTATGCACCCTCATGAAGCGTGCCTCTGAAATTTAGGAGCTGTAACGAAAATAAAGTTTACCATGAAGCTGTAACTGTTTCAGAGTTTTTTATGTTCTGTCTGCATTAGATGATACCTTATCACATGATACAGTCCACCTACAAGCATTAAACCCATCAGCACACCCCCATAAGCCCTGGCTTAATAAGCAATGTTGTGGAAGGCCATTTTAATATATAAAACAGTGTCTACTGAAATCATTCAATAATCTCTTCCATTTAACTCATAAGAACAGAAGTCAATCTCTAGAGTGACATTTCTACTGATTAATACACACCAGGGTGTGAGGTTATATTAGGAAACTAAATATTTATGTGCTTAGTTTAACATTTAACGACTGAACTTAATGTGTGATGTATAATTTAGTTATTCCCAGTCAGTAATAGTCTGATATCAAATGAAAGCTCAGGTAAAAATCGTGTTTTATTTGAATGTGTTATGTTAAAACAACTCCCCTTTGGGTTCCTAGATGCCCACAACATCCGTTTAGACGTTTTAGAAGATGGTGTTGAATAAAGGTTAATCATTTTTGGCATGTCTCTGTGTTGGCACACGGAAAAAAGTCCTTGACTTTGTGACATTGATTGGATTTTCAAATCGCCCATTGTCTGCTGGGTGGGGCAGAAACCCATCACAGTCCTTAATGGGATTACACAGATAAACGACTTTTATAACTGGTCATAATACTTACTGGACGTAATGGTATTTATTTTATTATTATTCAACACAACATGAAACATATGTGTAAAATATGTTTTCATTCAAAGTTCTCGTGTACGTTCCTTTTGTAAAATACGTTTTACAATATTCATTTTAGAGGAACATAATTGAAGATATCTGGAGCTGAAAGCTGGATGCGTCATTTGTCCTGTGAAGAAGAGTGTTTACAACATTTCTTAATAGTTCACATGTACGAAAATTGTTTTGTGGATAACTTAAATGCTCAGTTTGACTAGGAAGAATGGAATTGTAAACATTTGTTGTGAACATCCGGTCTAGCTATTAGATGCTAAATGGGCTTGCCATACCGGCTCATCGTTACCCAACCCTTGTGACAAAATGGCCTACAGGCCTCTTCCTAAGACAGAGCCCACCGCGAGCAAGCGTTTTAAAATTTTAAACATGTATTCCATAATGTTCCGATTATGTGTTGCCAGTGTCCGTGCAAATAAATACTCGAATAAAGACAAACGATGTTTAGATGTAGCTGCTCTCTTATGCATGACGCAAATAGTAAGGGATCAGCGGTAAACGAGGCCACGCATTGTCTGCCCCCCACCCCCCCTCACCTCCACCGCCCTCCCTCTGCTTGTCAGGAAGCAAGCTGATTGGCCGAGGCCTAGCAAAGAGTGCCCGGGGATCCAAAACTGCAGGCCGCACTTAGCTTATCGTCAAAAATAAACCAAAATAATAACAGACAAACTCGAGGAGGGGGAAACACACCGTTACACTCAGAAGACGACGTTATCAGGTAAAAGTATATCAAACGGTTCACAAAGGCACGCGGAATTAGACGCACGGGCCCAGTTGAACGTTACGGGCCCGTTTCGAAAACAACATGGAAGATAATGCGGCACAAGCTGCGCCCCTTAGCTTAGCAAGCTAGCTAGCCGAAAATATTGTCTCATCTCACAGATTAAAGCAGCATTGCTAATAAATATTACAGGATGTGTTCGTTTACGATATGCTCCATTGTTGCGATTTTTATTTGGTCTAATGTTTGAAATGCATTTTAGTACAGTTGTCGAAGCGACTATTTTAGCTTTTATGCTACAACAAAATGGCGCCGGGGGAGTTGGTCTTAGCTTGCTTGCTAGTTAGTTAGCGCCAGTGGGTGGAGGGCGTTAGCCCCCTTATTATGCGTTGCATAACTGCGGTGCTTTCATTGGTGGCTGTAAACTTTGGGCATGTGTAAATTAAGAGTTGAGTCGAAAACTACGATATAAAGTTAAACGATTAGTTGTGTGGGAACACGGGCTTCATCATTGTTAGAGGCTCTTATATATTCATGACATATACGCACAACGTCACAATAGAAAGCTGTAAACAAGCCTTGTTTTTATTTTAAGGCAGCAGAGACGAAATGCGTTTACGCCCTCATAGCTGAGCATGTCTGTCTTCAAGAGGCTTCAGTATCACCACCGAGTTCGAGCTCGTACTTGTTCGTGGGACAGTCCTTTGTATCAGTTTAACCTAAACCATCCATCAGGCATGTCCAGGTTTAGAGCTCTATGTCCATGACTATATGCAGGTTGATGCCGCATGTAGTACTTCTAATAGGCAATGGATGGAGCCAGTATTCAACAAAACATTTACCAACCCGCATAGGATTAAATGTTTTCTCTGTTAGAACTTTGTTTGAACGAAACTTGAAACTTTATACAAAATCAGTTTTGATGATGGCAGCAAAACACAGTATATGAAATACACTTCTAACATCAATTATGTGCCTTCAGTGTAACACATTTAATGTGTATTTTAAATGGGCTTTTTTCCTTTGCCAGACTGAACAATTGTCTTGATGGAAGGAGGCCTATCAGTTTTCCTGTTGGTTTTATTGTAAAGGTCTTGTCACTAAATGTGAAGGTATGTATTGATTTCTTGTCTGCTGCACAAAGTGTAATTTTTTTGCCTTTTAATTTCGTTTCAATAATTCAAATCATACAAATGAAGTTGTTTAACCCTATAATTTTCAGTTTTTTATTAAAGATTTAAAAAATGGATCAGGGCGGTGGAGTGTTGGAGCTACATACTCAGGAGCTGAAGATGCCCCATGCTATGATCATGCAAGATTTTGGTAGGTAGTTCAGTTGGTCAAACTGACACATGAAAGGGTTAATCAATCAAGCATTTGATGTATTAGCAAATACCCTGTTTTAGGGAATAAAGCAACAGCCTAAATGTGAAGTCACGTTACATGGGTGTTATAAAGTTCCATTTTGATAAATAATCAAATATGTTATCAAGTTTTATTTTGCCTTACCCTAAAATTCATCGTTTACCAACATTAAAACTAAGTTGAGTCATTGTTTGTAGTTTGACTCAAAATGCATTGACAAGCACATGCCTGTTTGTTGAAACAATTATTTGTAAATGTTGCATTTTATTTTAAGTGCAGTTTTTCCAACTAAACATACAAATATTTTGAAGATGTATTGGATCAACATCCATCCATCCATTTTCACCCGCTTATCCGGAGTTAGGTCGAGGGGGCAGTAGCCTAAAGCCTGATTCATGCTTCTCCGTCTGCGTCAGTGCGGAGACACGCAATGTCCTTGCAGAGCTGCCGGAGAGCTCCGCAAGGACGGACGGAGTCGAGCTCTCTTTTCTAAACATCCGTCAGTCGAGACGGACAACGCAAGCTTGTGATTGGTCAGGACGCCGCCGCTGTTGTCTACAGCGCCGCTATTGCGCCCTCAAAAACATAAAGAGAACCGAGGATAACAAACGGCAGACACGGAGAAGCTTGAAGAATACCTCGCGAAAAAACTCTAAAAACATGAATGTTTAATTCTCCTGTGACTGGAGGAGTGAAAAGATGCGCAGCAAGCGTTTTATTTGTGGACGGAAATGACAGGAAACGTGGGTTTAGAGATGGAGGAGAATGAGAGACAAATTTGTCTGTGTTAAAAAAAAAGTCTCTTATATACAAAAAACAATATAAACACACTATCTTGGACCAACACATGACAGGATACCACAGAACAGCGCTACATCCTCTGTTGTCCTGCCGGGCAATTGCTTTGCAACACTCTCCAGGAGACGGAGAAGTATGAGAGCAAAACGCTTCCGTCAATCCGTGCGTGTCTGTCCCTTGCGGAGCTGATGGAAAAGCATGAACCAGGCTTTAGGCAAGAGGCCCAGACTTCCCTCTCCCCAGCCACTTGGGCCAGCTCCTCCAGGGGAATCCCAAGGCGTTCCCTGGCCAGTCGAGAGTAGGGATGCACCGATCAGGTTTTTTGCTGCCGATCACCGATACCGATATCAAAGAATGCTGATCACCGATACCGATCACCGATACCGATCACGTGGATTGGCCAGAAATTTTCTACAACATTATAATGAGTGCTACAAACTACATAATCTGGGAATAAAGGAAATGTAACCTAATCTAAAATGGTCTGTATTTGGGTTGTCACGGTGTGAAAATTTAACCTCACGGTTATTGTGACCAAAATTACCACGGTTTTCGGTATTATCGCGGTATTTTTTTTAAACGTGCTACATTTTCACACAATTAAATAAACCCTGTATATCAGGAAAATATTGTCCTCAGTTTGTGTCTAAATTTTGCCTAAAATGTGTTATTTTGTAATTATGTTGTTTATTTGTTTACATTTTTCCACTTTAGTCTTTAAAATACCAATATTTGCCCATAACTTCGTATTTTATGTCTGTTTGATGTCATCATTTAAAATTATTAGATCAGATGATACTCAGTACTCAAGTAGCCTTCTAATCAGATACTTTTTTTTTACCCTTACTTGAGCAATCCGTATTTCAGGAAAATATCGTCCTCGGTTTGTGTTCCAGTGAGCTTTGCAGATGTGGGAAAATGTCATCAGGCAGTAATCATTGTTAAATTCATAATTATTCTCGGAGAGAGACCAACTCTATCTGTCCCTGGGAGCCCCTTAATGCATAGCGTCATTTCAACATGGGGGTGTCCGCGACACGGTTTATATGCAGGTAGCGGCGCTGCGGCTGCTTGATATAGCGACTCGTTGCATTCTCCCTCAACCCAAATCCTCGGATCACGTATTTTAGCGAAAACGCTAACGTTAGCTTGCCTTGCGTTGACTGTAGAGTTGTGGGTGATGGTCACGCAGATGTGTCATGAGATTTGAAGCGTTGCTACCTTTCACAGACACTTTTTCTGCTCGTGCTGCAAACAGGATAGCCACCCGTCTTCTATAAACTCCCTCGGCATTCTTCAAAGATCTAAAATATGCCCGTACTTCTGACTTTGTCTTCTTTGAGGGATAATAAATGTCCTCCTGAGTGTTGCCGTCTCCTCCTTTGACCATTATTTCAGCTTTAGCTTCAAGAAAGTTTTGTTGTAAACAAAGCGTGCATGTGCCGCCGGCAACTTCTGCAGATGATACGGTGGCTGGTAAGGGTCACCGCGCCTACACCGCAGCCACAGTAAACCCACGAAGATAATATAGTTTTTTTTAAAAACAAGATGGTTATTATTGTCAACTTTTTTTTTTTTTTACCGGGGTTTAGCGCTACACTGGTTACCGTGACAACCCTACCTGATCGGTTTGCTTTGATCTATTTTGAAAATTCCGATCAAAACCGATAGGGGCGCTATCGGCCGATTACGATCAAATGCCGATCCATCGGTGCATCCCTAGTCGAGAGACATTGTCCCTCCACCGTGTCCTGGGTCTACCTTTAGGTCTCCTCCCGGTTGGACGTGCCCGGAAAACTTCACCAAGGAGGCATCCTAACCAGATGCCAGAGCCAGCTCAACTGGCTCCTCTCGATGTAGAGGAGCAGCAGGTCTACTCCGAGCCCCTCCCGAATGACAGAGTTTCTCACCCTATCTCTAAGGGAGAGCCCAGCCACTCTTCGGAGAAAACTCATTCCGGCCGCTTGTATCCGCAGTCTCGTTCTTTTGGTCACTACCCAAAACTCATGACCATATGTGAGGGTAGGAACGTAGATCGACCGGTAAATTGAGAGCTTCGCCTTCTGACTCAGCTCTCTCTTCACCACGACAGACCGGTACGGCATCTGCAGTGATGCGGGCATTCTGCATCACTGCAGATGCAGCTCCAATCCGCCTATCGATCTCACGCTCCAGTTTTCCCTCACTCGTGAACAAGACCCCGAGATGCTAGAACTCCTCTACTTGGGGCAGAACCTCATCCCTGACCCGGAGAAGGCATTCTACCCTTTTCCGAATCAAGACCATGGTCTCAGATTTAGAGGAGCTGATTCTCATCCCAGCTGCTTCACGCTCGGCTGCGAACCGCTCCAGCGAAAACTGAAGATCACGTTCTGATGAAACCAACAGGACCACATCATCTGCAAAAAGCAGAGACCTGATCCTCAGGCCACCAAAACGGATGCCCTCCACACCTTGGCTGTGCCTATAAATCTTGTCCATAAAGGTTATGAACAGAATCTGTGACAAAGGGCAGCCTTGGCAGAGTCCAACTCTCACTGGGAACGAGCCCGACTTGCTGCCGGCAATGCGGACCAAGCTCTGACACCGGTCATACAGGGACCTAACAATCCGTATCAGATGGCCTGGTACCCCATACTTCCGGAGTACCCCCCACAGGGCCCCCGAGGGACGCAGTCAAATCCACGAAACACATGTAGATTGGTTGGGCAAATTCCCGCGCACCCTCCAGGATTCCCCTTACCCCCAAATTCCACTACCTCCGCTCTGACACGAACGCCGGAGCAAAATCGGTCCCGTTGTAGTCAATCAGAGCAATTCCACTACTGTGGCACTGCGGCAGTGCGGCGCAGTGCGCCGCCCTCTGTTCCGGCGTCCGGCAAAAATAGAATCGATCCTATTTTTGCCGGACGCCGGAGCACCTCCGCAGTCAATGGACAGGAATCACAACCGCCCAACAGGAAAAGGAGCAAGCACAACTTCCATTTTTCACAATAAATCGATAAACAAAAGGCGTTTTTTGTTTCATATGCACAGGTTTAACAACTTTTAACAACTATCAATGGCGGCTGAACTTTAAATGCACAAAAGTAAGCCATAAATACAGTTTCCACTATCAAAGTAGTCACACTTTGTTGATCCAAACACTGCTGATCTCTCAACACAAATGATGGGCAGATTAAACAGTTCATGCCGATGCTTCTCCCACACAACGGGTGCTTGGATCTTACTTCCGCGTTTATTGCTCGGACTATATCGCAAGATCTCGAAAATCCCGCGCATGCTTGTTTGCCCACCTCAGGTCTCCGCACCGCAGCAGAGCCGTTGTAGAGCGGGTACCAGTAAAAATTGAGTTCGGAAGCGAGCGGCTGCGGAAGGCGAGGGCGGACCGGAGCGGAGCGGAGGTAGTGGAATTTGGGGGTAAAGGTATAGAGCTGGTCCAGTGTTCCACGGCCAGAACGAAAACCACATTGCACCTCCTGAATCTGAGGTTCAACAATCCAACGGACCCTCCTCTCCAGAACCCCTGAATAGACCTTACCAGGAAGGCTCAGGATTGTGATCCCCCTGTAGTTAGAACACACCCTGCGGTCCCCCTTTTTAAATAAGGGAACCACCACCCCGGTCTGCCAGTCCGGTGGGGCTGCCCCCGATGTCCACGCGATATTGCAGAGCCGTGTCAACCAACACAGCCCCACAACATCCAGAGCCTTAAGGAACTTTGGGCGGATCTCATCCACTCATCTTTTTAACCACCTCAGTGACCTCAGCACCAGAGATTTGAGAGGCCAACCCAAAGTCCCCAGACTTTGCTTCCTCACTGGAAGACGTGTCGGTGGGATTGAGTAGGTCTTCGAAGGATTCTGCCCACTGATCCACAACGTCCTGAGTAGAGGTCAGCAGCACACCGTCCCCACTATAGATAGTGTTGGTAGCGCACTGCTTCCCCCCCCCGAGGCACCGGATGGTGGACCAGAATCTCCTCAAAGCCGTACGGAAGTCTTGCTCCATGGTCTCACCAAACTCCTCCCATGCCCGGGTTTTTGCCTCGGCGACCACCCGAGCCGCGTTCAGCTTGGGCTGCTGGTACCCGTCAGCTGCCTCTGGAGTCCCACAGGCCAAAAAGACCTGATAGGACTCTTTCTTCAGCTTGACTGCATCCCTAACTGCCGGTGTCCACCATCGAGTTCGGGGGTTGCCACCACGACAGGCACCGACGATCCTGTGACTAGGGCTGGGCGATGTGGCCTCAAATTTATATTGCGATATAATCTGAAGCATGTGCGGTAACGATATATATTGCGATATTTTTTTCCCTCTGTTTATATATGTCAAAATGACATGCTTTATAAATATCCTCATGTGGCAAATATATGCCACTTGAGGCATATAGGCCGCCTCCTCTGCCCACTCCATGCTTGCAGTCACTGCCATTCTGTTGCCCCAATGTCAGCAGGGTGCACATCTTAGTGACGTCATGTTTTATCGCGATATCGCGGTATTGCAATATAGCCAAAAGCTCTCATTACCCAATTTTATATTGTTTCTACCTTATATCGTTTATATTGCCCACCCCTACCTGCGACCACAGCTCCGGTTGGCCGCCTCAACAATTGAGGCACGGAACAGGGTCCATTCAGACTCAATGTCCCCTGCCTCCCCCGGAACATTTTGGAAGTTTTGTCGGAGGTGGGAATTGAAGCTCCTTCTGACAGGAGACTCTGCCAGATATTTTCAGCAGACCCTCGTTATACGTTTGGGCCTGCCTGGTCTGACTGGCATCCTCCCCCACCATCTGAGCCAACTCGCCACCAGGTAGTGGTCAGTTGACAGCTCCGCCCCTCTCTTCAACTGAGTGTCCAAGACATGTGGCTGCAGGTCAGATGAAACAACAACAAAGGCGATCATCGAGCTGCAGTCTAAGGTGTCCTGGTGCCAAGAGCACATATGTACACCTTTATGTCTGAACATGGTGTTCATTATAGACAATCCATGACTGGCACAGAAGTCCAATAACAAAACACCACTCAAATTCAGATCGGGGGGCCGTTCCTCCCAAACACACCTCTCCAGGTGTCACTGTCGTTGCCCAGGTGAGCGTTAAAGTCCCGCAGCAGAACGAGGGAGTCACTGGAAGGAGCACTTTCCAGCACCCCCTCCAAGGTCTCCAAAAAGGGTGGGTAGTCTGAACTGTAGTTTGGTGCATAAGCACAGACCACAGTCAGAACCTGTCCCCCCACACGTAGGCGGAGGGAGGCTACCCTCTCATTCACTGGGGTAAACCCCAACGTACAGGCACCACCCATGCTGGGCTCCTCTCAGTGGGAGCAACTCCAGAGTGGTAGAAAGTCCAACCCGTCTCAAGGAAACTGGTTCCAGAGTCAGAGCCATGCGTTTAGGTGAGTCCGACTATATCTAGTCAGAACCTCTCAACCTCACACTCCAACTCAGGCTCCTTCCCCACCAGAGAGGTGACATTATAAATAAAGCTTTGATTGATTGATTCCATGTGCCAAGAGCCAGCTTCTGTAGCCGAGGATCAGACCGCCAAGGTCCCCGCCCTTGACTACTACCCGTCACACACTGCACCCGACCTCTTTGTTTGTGTTCAACCACCATGAACTCTGTGTAGCTGTATGACCAATGATTGGTTAAGAAAATGACCATAACATAAACATCTGCCTTGTAAAAGTGACAAGTGTAAAAAATGTTTCAAAAACAGTTGCTCAAATTTTCAAGGAATTTAAAAAAAAAGTTTTTAGATTGTGTAAATTTGCTCAGAGTCTGTGTTAAAAAACCGAGATGCCTAAGTGCTGGTGAAGGTTCTCAGTCATCCAGGTCATGGTTATCCAATAGGGTTCAAAAGAAGGCAACTGGACTTCTTTGGTTTCTTGAAGACGTTTCGTTTCTCATTCAAGGAACTTTGTAATTTCTGACTGGAATATGGGAGAGAAGAAGAAGAAAAGATCTTTTCTATAGCGCCTCTCAAGATAAAGATCACGAGGCGCTTCACATAAACAAAAAATGTAAAATATAAAAAAAATTAGGAAATGATTACAGATATATTTAAAATGAGCAAAAAAATTGACAATTGTGATTAAAAAATGTAAAGAAAGAGAGAGTGAAAAGAAAAGAGGGAAATCAGTGGATCCGGAGCAAGGTGGAATAGGTAGGGAGAGCAGAACAAGGAGAGGGTGATGAAGGTCACACCAAAACCAGCTTGAACAGGTGAGTTTTCAGCTGCTTTTTAAAGGAGTCCACTGGTCTCTGTGGGAGAGTCAAGCTTATAAGCTGTAGCTGTCTGTTGTTGCTTGGAATTCCAGCTTATGTAAGACAAACACTGCAGAACTGACAAAGTTCAGATGAGAATCTAAACGTCTTCAAGAAACCAAAGATATTAAAGAGCAAGTCGCCCCAAATCTGCCTTTTTGCAGATAAAATGTGTAATTGAGTATCTAAATAGTGCTGTAGACATGCACAGTCTTTTTTAAATATATATTTTAGGGCATCTTATTAAAATTATTAAAATTCAGATTAAAACATCAATATTTCTCCATCATCAGGTTAGAATGCTGCACTATATTGCATTTAAATCAGCCCTTGTTGGCCAAGTGGTATCCAGTGACATTGCTGGCACTGTTACATGGCAAGTCTTGGCCACACCTCCGACTGACTCAACCACTAATGAGCCGATGCAGCGCAGAGTCGCTCACCTCTTAAAAATACATCCTCCTCTCCTCCTCCTAGTGAACGAGATGGACAGGAATCCTAAGGTCTTTGTTCCTCCGTCTTCTCTTTCACCTGAATGATGTGTCTTTTGGGCCTTTTCCAACCGCTTGGTTCAGTATTTTCCCTCTACTTTTTTCCAAATTTTAATTTCCTGCTCTGTTGATGTTCCAAGTACACTGGGTGATTCTCAATGTCAAGGAACCTCCCCTTGATGCTTTGGTCCTCCCCTGGTTGCCTAGGAGATGCATCATCAGGAACTGCCAAGGCCTGTTCCAATCGGTTCCAATGTTCATTGTGATTCCAAGGCGTCTGTTCTCCGGTTGTTAGCCGTTTGGCTAAGTGAGCAAGGATACATGCGAGGTGCCTTGTTACCTTCTCTTGGTTAAAAATTCGCCCAGAACACAGCACAGTATTTTCAGAAGGATGGTGTATCAGGAGCCTGCAGCTACACAATAAAAAAGTAAAAGGCTTGTTATACATTTATATCGAAACTTAAAAGTATGAAATTTAACTTTACCTCACTTGGCATGCCATGTTTTATTTATTTATTCTTTATTTTCATTTATTGACATTAAAATCAAAATACAAAACTAAATGACTAAAAACCAAAATGAAAAGGGGACAGAAAGAAGAAAAACTTGTGTTATCCGCCCCTTTTAACAAAAATAACATTAATACAAATGAAACAACAGTGAGGTAAGTCAGTTCCATTTAACCGTTTTCTTTGACCAAGGAAGGACATTGTCTTCGTGGGCAAGGCGAGATTCCTTGACATTGAGAAACACCCACTTAGTCAGGCCAGCATCGCAGCTGTGGCCGTTGATGGGGCTAGGGGGCGGGGTAACAGCTCTCTGCCTTGCTGCCAGCAGCATTTCCTGAATCTGACAAAAAGTCATAAAACTGAGCAGAATGTCCAACAACACCACATTTTCTTGTGCTGAGTTGTGTTTCTGTGAAGCATACAGGTCACTTCACACTGTTTACTAAAAACCTCATGCTGCTGAGGGTCCCCCTTTCCTCCCCCCGCGTGCTATGCGGGGCAAACCCACTTTCTGTCATGGAGCTGGCAGGGAATACCAACTACACTAAGATAAGCTGAGTTATACAGAGCTGTTGGAGAAACGGCTTTAGTGTGCTTTAGGGCTGCACAATATATCGTAAATATATCGTTATCGCGATGTCAGCATACACAATATGCATATCGCAAAGAACAGATAAATATCGCATTGAATGTTCAGCTCAGATGTTTGCTACACATAATGCATTCTGTCAATCAAATGAAAGCATTATGTTTTTTTAAACAAATGAAATAGAGCTCTTCACCCATTTGGCCAATTGGGTGGGTTCTCATGGGTCAGAGGCCCGCCCCCAAGGCGGGCGGCACTTCATTTCGATGGTTAGCATGCACCTGAGTTAGCTTTGGTCTGCTCTTTTCGCTGATTCTGCTTTTCCCGGGAGCCACTGATTGCCTTTTCTTGTTTATTTCCTTTTTCCCTTTCTTCACATCTTTAGCTTTTCTCATTTTTAGAATTTTTTTATTTCTTTGTTTTTGATTAATTTTGTTCCTAAGTTAAGTTTTTATTTATCGTAAGTAATATGTCATTGCAATATTAATCATTATTATCGAATATCGCAGGTTTTCCTAATATCGTGCAGCCCTAGTGTGCTTGTTCTTGGCTTGTTTCTCCAATAGAGAAACTCAGCATGCACGGGGAGTGGGGTCTCAACAGGCGACTCCTCCTTTTAGCAATTTTTTTAAACAAGAATGTGTGTAGGTAAGACTGGCAGAAGGGTGACTTGCTCTGTAAACACTAGCTCAGTAACTGCTGTCTATAAGCACCCTGTTAAAACTCAGTCTAGGAGATTCCGTTATCTAATCTAGTTGCAGTCACTGCTGAATCTGCACTAATATTGGACCAGGGTTAGATTTTTATGTATTAATGTTTTGTGTTTGTTTTGCTTACAGTTGCAGGCATGGGAGGTTTGGCTCACATTGATGGAGAACACATTGTTGTGTCTGTACCTGAGGGAATGCTTCTGTCTGATGTAATGACCGACGAGGGCATCCTCCTGGAGCATGAACTGGAGGTGGAAGGTCTGGAGACTCAAGTAGTTGAAGGACTGGAGGCTGAGGTGGTTGAAGGACTGGAGGCCGAGGTGGTTGAAGGACTGGAGGCTGAGGTGGTGGGGGGTTTACATACTAATGTAGAGGGCTTGGAGGCTGAAGTTGTGGAAGAGCTACAGACACATGTGGTAGAGTTAGAAGCTCAGGTTGTTGAGGATCTTGAGGGTGAGGTTGAAGTTGAGGGTCTGGAGACACATGTGGTTGAGGGGCTGGAGACAGAGGTAGATGTGGAGGGTCTGGAAGCTCATGTAGTTGAAGGTCTTGAAGAAGAAGTTGAAGTTGATGGTTTAGAAACTGAGGGGGTGGAAGAGCTGGAGGTAGATGTGGAAAGTCTTCAGTCTCAAGGGGTTGAGGCCCATGAAATGGTGACTGAAGATATGGTCCCCTCAGGACACAGTGTAATCATGCCTGACAATATCCTGGGGACAGAGGTTGCAATTGAGGAGTCCTTGGACGTCCACCACCATCATGTCTTAACATCAGACCTGATCCAGGACTCAAATCATCATGATGACATGGCAGACCAAGTGTTTGTGGCAGAGCTTCTGTCTGAGCACCCAGATGACGCATTAGACCACCAGCTTGTATCAGAAGGTCTAATGGTGGCAGAAGGCAGCTCGAAGACTATTATTCATCAACAGCTGACAACTGAGGCTGTTCCCCTGCAGACGGATGAGGAGGATGATGCAAGAAGCAGTTCTGAGGATTACCTCATGATCTCCCGTAAGACAGCCTGTCCTGTAATAACACAACTGCAATCAGCCCACAGCTTTGTATTTGTTTAGGTATAACCAGGTATATTTGTGTTGTTGAAGTTGATGAGGTGGGTGAGAAATTGGATATAGGAGACACTCCACTGGAGATCACCACCGAAGTCATGGAGGACAAAGAAATCAAAGAGGAGGACGACGACTCTGAGGTCATAAAAGTCTACATTTTTAAGGCTGAAGCAGATGATGATTTAGGTAAGTGGCATTTAAATCGACCAGACAGTACGTGAATAATGAACACAAGAACAGTGTCTACATTTATTCTTGCTGTGCTGACTGGGCTTTGACTTTCTTTCATCTCCAGGTGGAACAGAGGTAATAACGGAGGACGATTACCAGAACAGCCATCCTGATCTGGAAGCAGCATCATCAGGCAGACTGGGAGTGGGCCGTGACAAGATGGTCTACATGGCTGTTAAGAACCCTCTAAAGGAAGAAGAAGACGATGACGATGATGAGAGTGATGATGATGATGATGATGACAACATCAGTATGTTTGTCTATTTCTTCAAAGAGGTGGTACAGCTTGTGACTCTAATAGGGCTTCCACACTAGCATCAGCTCTCCTCCACCTGGACTAGGTACAGTGTGTTCCCACCTGGGTAGCCTTGAACTTTCCCGCGCACAACCAGTTGTTTTTTCAGCCTTCTTCCCAAGGCGGTCCAACGCACCCACTGCCGACTGATTTGCCGGGTCAAGTTCACGTCTACCGTTAGGGGGATCCTTCGATGGGCGGGCAGAATCAGCCAGCGGGGGCTTTCCGCATGCTCGATTCATTGTCACGCTGGTTACTGAAACAAGCCACTGACTGAAGCCTTCTGTCTGACGAGTGCATGCACACACACACACACAGACAGATGGCGTGTTATTCTCTCTCTCTCTTTCAGCTTCAGCTGCGTGAGGACAGACGCAGTCTGGGTGCAATATCAGATCACGCTGTTTACTGATCACTAGAGATGGGTACCTTTGACATTTGAATCGATACGGTATCAATTCCTGTCACCTATGAATCATTACCGGTTCTTAACAGTACCAATTTGATTCTTTTGAGTGTTTAGTAATTATTTAAATCGTATTTTTAATTAAATATATATTATTTTCCCAATATATAACCATATTTGATAAATATAATAAATAACATACAACAGTTTGTAATTTATACAAAATTCTTCATTATGAAAACCTTTAACTGTTTCTAAATGATGCAAAAACAAACTAGTGATGCACCGATATGAATTTTTTGGGCCGATACCGATAGTAACTCATTCACTGCTTTTGACGACAAAAGTCGTCATTTTAAATCCAACCGTTCACTGCCAATGACGACGGTATTGTTTTGCTGTGTGGGCGCCGGAACGAGCCCCCGCAGCGTGAGAACAAACATCCCAGCTCTAAAGCCGATCTTCATCCGCATACGTCACACGTCACGTGATCAGGAAGCAGAAAATCCATGTGTTAGGAAATCGTTTTGGGCCGCTGCTGTAAAAAAAGTGAGGCGTGAACCGGAAAAGCTTCTGCCGATCACAATTCGACAACAGATTAGTAAAGAACGGATAATGCTAGAAATATGTGGATTCTTCCTGATGTAAGAGGTGAGTTTCTTTGTTTTGGTAGTTTTGCCGTTGACATCATCGTAGAGCGCAACGTTCTGTGACTCTTAAACGGTGAAAATGCTGGCAGCGACGGGCTTTTCTGATAAGGAAACAGCTGGCAGTGAATGAGTTAAGATCACTGTTATGGCCGATACCCGATATTTGCTGATACCGATAAACTGACAGTAATGCTTCTAAAATCAGCAGATTTTGTATAGAATTAAAATTATTAAAGCTTAATTTATGTTGTTATGTACACACCATTTACAGTTCTGAGATGATTTAATTCACTGTTCACGTGACTAAACAATTACACATCACCCCCCTCACCCTCTGAAACAGGCAAACAAATGGAGACGAGATGGAAAAAATATCGGTTGGATAATATTGGCCCCGTTCTATTTATTGGACCGATACTGATATGTTAAAAATAACTAACACCGGCCGATACCGATATTAATACAGTTATATTGTCCATCCCTAAAACAAACCCAGCTCCATGTAGTCCTACTCCTCTTCTAAATTCTTTGGAATAACTGATGAGTAGACCGTGTATTATAAACTACACATGAAACTAAAGCAAACTTTGATATCATACAACTGTTTGAATTTTAATATTGTGGCGTTTCACTAACTATTTTGAATTTCGGAGTTCCGAGGAGAAAGCGAACCCACCATTAGCTGAACAGAAGCGAACACCAAGCTAACATTATCTTAAACATTTTATTTACCTACCAGAGCAGATTAGGATGATGATTCCTCACTTAGGTCGTTGTTGCTGGTTTCATCTTCACCCAGTTACCCATCCTACTTAGTGAAGTGGACCCAGACTTCAGAACGCTTCCTCTCTGCCATGCTGCCTTGTTTACAGCTCACCCACAGTGACTGACGACGTTATGCTCTTGCGTCGGCCCGTGGCACGAATACTGAAAAAAGGCACAATTTCATATGATGTGAATCGGCACTCCGTTGGTACTATGGAATTTGGTCGGTGTCTTAAATAGTACAGAATTCGGTACCCATCGCTACTGATCACCTCATGCTACTTTTGTCACAACTGAAGATCGCCTCCCCCGTTTTCTGGTCCAGTCTGACAAAAAGCCATAAAACTGAGCAGAATGTCCAACAACACTACCATTTGTGTTTCTGTGGAGCAGACAGATCACCTTACACTGCTTATGCTTGACGCATTCACTTTCCGCGCGGTGATGCGGCTCACGGATGGAACGCGTTTCACAACACGCAGCGTTTATGGTTTGTGCGGCTCGTCTCTGCGGTGAGCCAATATTCTCCCAAACTGAACGGGGCAGCATGGAGCTCTACAGCATGCATCCAACACTACACCATAGTAGAAGTAGAAATCACTGTTTACAACATGGTATTTCAGCATTTTTAACAGCGTTCTCGTCTTTTCCGACAGTGCGAGCTATTTCTCTCCAAGAATTATTAACAACATGTTGATCACGGTGATCTCTGAGAGCTGAATCATACAAATGTCTGTATTTACGAACCTTTGCCGTGCCGGTCCGCCATGTTTTTCCGCGTCCGACCGTCCGCGTGGTTAGAAATTTTCCGAGGTGCGCGTTGCGGAAATCTTGGGCCGTGCGGAGACGCGGTGGAGGGGCGTGGTTGTTAAAATGACGCAACTTTTCCGCGCGGAGCCGTGCGGACCTCGCGGATGCGTCAAGCATAAACCAACCTTAAAGTTTGAGCTGACATACCTGGTGCTGTCTGCTTCCAGCACGTTTCCTGTATGTTTTAGATCATGAACACAGCTGATTTGTTATTTAGTGATGAATCACTCCTGTAGAAACTAATGAAGGCTGAGGAGATATTTCAGCTGTTAGAAAGTGTCAAAAAGAAAAAAACGAACAGTGAGGAGATACGTTTCACTTTTTGTTTTAACCACAGTGAATTAATAACAGACTTTAGGGGGTGCTAAAAGTAAGCCCAAGCTGCAAAGCTTCCTTCAACAGTGTGTGAACTGTCACCATGTCTGCAGGTAATACTATTGATCCGGTGAACAATGGAGTTGCTACACCTTTTCTTCAGATCCGCGAGGGACTGGGCACAAACAGCGTGCTCAAACCAAAGGCTAGGAAGAAGAAGAAAGGAGACGCACGTCAGTGTCAGACTGGTATGATCAACATTATTTTGTGACATTAGTACGAGAAATGGCTTTCGCGTTTTGCTTTATTGTGATCTAAACAAGAGCCAGATACTTGAAAAATCACATTAAATGTTTATTACTCTAATTAAACCTTGTTTTTCTGAACTCCTTTTCCAGCTGTCATCATTGGACCAGATGGGATGCCTTTAACTGTCTACCCTTGCCACATATGTGGAAAGAAGTTTCGCTCACGGGGATTTCTCAAATGCCATATGAAAAACCACCCAGACCATCTGCTCAAGAAGAAGTACCAGTGTACAGACTGTGACTTCACCACCAACAAGAAGATCAGTTTCCACAATCACTTGGAGAGTCACAAGCTCCTAAGCCACAACAGTGAGCGATCTCCAGAATATACAGAGTACGCACGGCGATACCACGAGTCCAGCCCCTTGGGCTCTGACAAGCTCATCGTTAAGGACCGGGAGCCCAAACTGCATCACTGCAAATACTGCGATTATGAGACAGCAGAACAGGGTTTGCTCAACCGCCACATGTTAGCAGTGCACAGTAAGAACTTTGCACATGTGTGTGTTGAATGCGCTAAAGGCTTCCGTCACCCGTCAGAGCTGAAGAAACACATGCGGACCCACACGGGCGAGAAGCCCTACCACTGTCCGCACTGCGAGTTCCGCTGTGCTGATCAGTCTAATCTAAAGACTCACATAAAGGGCAAGCATGGCGCCGATCTGCCCTTCAAGTGCATCCATTGTCCCCAAGCTTACGCTGATGCTCGTGAACTCCAGCGCCACATAGAGATGGTGCAAGGGCACAAGACCCACCAGTGTCCACATTGTGAGCACAAGAGCACCAACTCCAGTGACCTTAAACGGCACATCATCTCGGTTCACACCAAAGACTTCCCCCATCAATGCGACGTATGTGAGAAAGGTTTTCATAGGCCCTCGGAATTGAAGAAACACGCAGAGACACACAAAGGGAGCAAGGTGCACCAGTGTCGACATTGTAACTTCAACGCTCCCGACACCTTTACCTTGAGTCGCCACATTCTGTCGCTGCACACAAAGGACCTTCCCTTTAAGTGCAAACGCTGCCGGCGAAGCTTCCGGCAGCCCGCTGAGCTGAAGAAGCACATGAAGACACACAGCGGTAGGAAGGTTTATCAGTGCCAGTATTGTGAATATAACAGTACAGACGCTTCTGGCTTCAAGCGCCACGTCATCTCTATTCACACCAAGGACTATCCCCACCGTTGTGACTACTGCACCAAGGGCTTCAGGAGGCCGTCAGAGAAGAGCCAGCACATAGCCAGGCACCACAAAGACATGATGATGTAACGTCATCACACACGAACACACACTCCTTTCTCACATGGATCTGTCCCACACTCGGAGGTCATTTTAATGTATAAACAAGCAGTGATGCCGGCAGTTGAAGATATTACAATTGCTGTTCTGTGTTGTATTGATTTAGACTCTCCATAAGGGGAAACGCAAGAAAACATTTTAAATTGAATGAAATATAAAGACAAAAACAACAAAAAAAAGACTGTAAACTGAGTGAGATGGCTGTAAATTGTCTTTTGTTGCAGAAAATCACATATGAACATATATTCAGGGTTTCAAATGTCTATTTTTATACCCACTCCCCTAAAACGCTGCAAGATGATGACTGTCAGTGCTTGGTGAACATCATGCTGCCCCTTCAGAGGAGGCAGAACGAGTACAGGAACCTCCGTATTACTAACTTGTACCCTTGTTACCAGCTTTTAACCTGACCCTTATGCTCGGACTGGGTTGTTGGGGTGGTGGCATGCATAAATGCATCGTGGAAAAAAATTCAACTTCCTGTGTTTTAGAATTTTGTCTCAAGCCTGAACACTCATCGTTTCCTTAAATGAATCATGTATCGATTGTACCAACTGTTCAGTTTATCATCACTTAAATTTGGATCATAAAGGTTCTGGTCCAGTTGGATTCTAGCAGGAAGGAAGAAGAGCCCTAGAGTTTTTAAATTATTGCTTTGGTGTATGCGTTTTCAACAGGAAGTGGCTGTTCCGCTGCTGGAGATATGCAGATAACTTATTGTGTTGTTACCATTAATTGTTATATGAAAGACATTTACAAATACCTGAAGTGGTTGTACTGTATCTGATCGCCACTGCAGTCACAGATATGTGATGCTACCCATGACACAGATGTACTCGTCGTTAAGCGTTATATTGCAGTCACACCTCACATCTGTCGGTCGTTGTCCCTTAAGCACCGATGAACACAGCCAATCAGAAGATGAGCGATTCTCAACCCTCACATGCTGAATCAACACCATTCTCTCTGGGATTGGGTTGGAGTCAGTAGAAAGCACTTTATTTTATTTTTATTTTGTATTTTATTGACGTATGGAAGTTGATTTACCTACAGATAAATCTACATAGATGCATCTGGAAACACCACACCTGCAGAACTTAAAAGGGTAACAGCAACATGTGGGCACGGTCCATTCCTGCATCCAAACAGAGCTGAAAGTTGTTTGTGGAACCATTTATTGTTTTATGAGTAAGTGATTTGGGTTTTGTGTTTTTGTTTGTGCTCACTAACAAAATTCCCAGACACTAGACCTAAATAACTTGGTCCCAAGCATAGGACTGTTTCCTCGAAGTCCGTGGTCATATTGGCATTAGTCTTTAAATTATGCACATATGCTGTCTTCATGAAAATAATTGTGGTATATATTAAAAAAATTCCTGCATTTCGTGTACCTTAGTCTATATTTTTCTTTCAGTCTGATTGTGGATAAAGTAGTGGTGGGGAAAACTAAAATAAACAATTATCTTTTTACCAGCTTTGTCCTTTGTCTTCCCAGAACATGATCTGAATCTTCTGTTCATAAAGTGCAGCGCTCAGTAACACAAGCAGATGTAGCTTCATGAAGACTACATGTGTCAGCGTGATGCAGGCCGATTCATTAGAGAAAACACATCAGATGAAAATGAAGTAAGAACTCACCTTTATTTTTATTAGAGAAGTGCTTTAATATTTGCCTCCAACTCACAATTCCCCCTAGATAATTATTTTTTATGATCGTCTATTGTGACGGTCTGTGGACTTAATTGGATTTCATAATAGTGTCAGTTTGTCCGCCGCTGATTGTTCAGGCTGGTGTTTTGTCTGGAGATAATAACCCACACACCCTTAGAGCTGTAATGGAGTGATCCTTGGAAATGCTTTTGCTCTATCCTCTAAAGCTGACTGTTCAGACACATCTGTGCTGAATATTATGAAGTACTTTCAAATGCACGTTTTAAGAATTAGCACACACTAAGTTTTAGTTTCCTTTGATACTGTGAACATTGAGTCATGTTTCTTGTACCTCTAGGTCTGCCCCTCACCTGCTGCGTTACTGAGTGCATTCTCGACTGCAGTTAAATTAGGTTTAGGTAGACGTGCTGATGTAGGTTTCAAGAGATCAGGGCTGCTCAAGTTTAACACTTTCTGTGTGCGCGTGCAGTCGTGTCCTCTGAATAAGTAGCTGTTCTATCAGCACCTAAGTTATTGTACTCAGAGGTTTATAAAATTGTACTTTAAAAGCAGTGAATAAGACCGAGTCTGCACCAACGATGGCATGACCCTTAGCCTATAGGAGCAAAACAAATTCAGGCATCTTCTAGAACTTTTTAGTAGAGGTAGAAGTGTTTAATGTTTTACTTTGTTAAAGTTGAGAGACAATGCGGTAAGAAAGTGTCATTTTTGCAGAAAGCACAATTTCATTCCATACACATTTGCAAAAAATGTATAATTCAGCTCAAGGCGCACTGGAGGAATTGGATCTCTGGGCGGTGAAAGCCCAGGGGTCACACCAGATGAGCCCATGGAGGTGGCTGGTTGGGCAGAGGAAGGGCGGAGCTGCCCTGGGCCAAGATAAGAGATGAAAACTAGATCCAGTAAAGACCATGTCTGTAATTTGTGAACTACAGAATGTATCTGGGATTAATACTTGTTAAGCGCTGGGTAAAAGTATCTGCAGTTAGCTGCCACTTATTCATAAAGGAAATATGAATGCAGCTTTAAAATGACAAAATTACATTTTTGAAACCCACTTTTTGTAACAGCCTGGACTGGAGGACCCGTGGAAACACCAGACACAGAAAGACACTTTAAAGTTTTTATTAGGGAACACACGGGAGTGTTACCAGTCTGTAGGAAGGGCAGTAGCAGAAGGCTTGGTCAGGAGGGGTAATCCAGAGGCAGAGTCTGTGAAACAGATCCAAGGTCAGGAGTCCAGAAGATCAGAAACGATGAGATAATCCAGTCAGGGAGCAGGCAGGTGGCAAGGTCGAGGTTCAGAAGCGAGGTCAGGATCTTGAGGTTTAGGCAGGGTTTTAGAATGCTGGAGAATCTACTCAATGGTTTCAATAATCTGGCACCGGCTTGGTGTTCCTCCTGATGTCATATAGAGGGGGTTGCAGGTGGAGCTGATGAGTTAATGTGAGACAGATGGTCTGGATGAGGTAGATGATGAGCTGGTTGTGGTTACTGGGGAAACTGGGCCTGGCAGGAGCGGTGGCATGGCACTTTTTTTTTATCTCTGAAACTTGATTTTTTTTTCTTTTTCTTTTTTTTTTCATATTTAAAGGGTGGCTGCTGCTGCTGTTTGGATCCCTGGCTGTAATGAACATAACACACAAGCCTGCAATATAAAGCAGGACAGCACCGGTCCCCCCTCCAGCCCGGCTGTGTGACTGCACTAACCTGTCCTGTGGGACCCTCACCATGTAACCCTCATGTCCATGCTGTCTCTGGAGGAGCAGATAGGAGACAAGAGCTCCTGTAACTTAAAATGAACCAAAGCTTCCTCCCAGTTTCTCTTTAAGCTGAATTTAACATCAGTTTATCATCATGAAACAAAAGAATAAAGTGGAACAAAAACTTCTATTTCCCTCTCCTTTTAACTTCTCCGTGTCCCTAAATAAAAGAGACAGACGATTACGCTGCTGCAGCCGTCACTGACCCCACCCCCTCCCCAAAACAGGTGTTATGCCGAGAACAGCCTACCTGCCGAGAATTGCATCCCCTGCCGCGGGAGCGCGCATTGTTGAAAACTCGCTGATAACAATGAGGAAACAGCTTAAAATATAAGCAGCGCGACGGCTATTAGATATACTCGTACTATTACCATGTGACTTATGCATGTGCATCCTGAAAACGTAATATGCTGTCACAGTTTATATATATATATATATATATATATATATATATATATATGTGTGTGTGTGTGTGTGTGTGTGTGTGTGTGTGTGTGTGTGTGTGTGTAAAGAGAGAGAAATCCCGGGTTTTATACAAACACTTTTGATGTTACTGTTAATTGAATCTTTACTGTGTCCCAGATGTATTTTTCGGTGCTCTGCTATTTTATGTGTCATATTCTCTGCTTTTAGCATAGCAGGCAAAACATTTCATGACATCTAAACCTTTTAAAGTAATGATAAAGGGCTGATTCCGTCGCAAGCAGGACACAGTATGAGTTTGTCAAAAGTAGCATTCTATCCACTTTTAATGGCAAACTGCACAATCTCGTGATCGGTTAATCTAATAATTCTTAAATAATAGTCTTCAGGGAAAACTGTGTGGGGGAGGGGGATGTTCTGTTATTGAGGTTCCTTACGTTAAAACAGTATTTTATTTATCAAAGTTTTTTTTGAACTACCTGCCTGTTTGTCTGTGTGTACTCCTCTTTAGACAGTGTTTGGCTTTAAAAGATGGGGATTCATAATTCGGCAGCTTGAAATGTTGCACTGCCGAAAAAAGCATCCCCTATTATTTCAAGTAATGATAAAGTTATGAATGATGTTTCATTTACACAACTCCATTTGTCCTCTGAGCTACTGCTTAGAGTGGTTAAAGAGGAGTACAATTCAATTCAAAAATACTTTATTAATCCCAGAGGGAAATTGAGTACACACAGACAAACAGGCAGGTAGTAGTTTAAAAAAACTTTAATAAATAAAATACTGTTTTAACGTAAGGAACCTCAATAACAGAACATCCCCCTCCCCCACGCAGTTTTCCCTGAAGACTATTATTTAAGAATTATTAGATTAACCGATCACGAGATTGTGCAGTTTGCCATTAAAAGTGGATAGAACGCTACTTTTGACAAACTCATACTGTGTCCTGTTTGCGACGGAATCAGCCCTTTATTCAATACTTTAAAAGGTTTAGATGTCATGAAATGTTTTGCCTGCTATGCTAAAAGCAGAGAATATGACACATAAAATAGCAGAGCGCCGAAAAATACATCTGGGACACAGTAAAGATTCAAATAACAGTAACATCAAAAGTGTTTGTATAAAACCCGGGATTTCTCTCTTTTATACATACATACATATATATATATATATATATATATGGGGGGGGGGGGGGGGGGGGTTGAGCAGACCCCCCACCCCCAGTCACTGATCGAGCAAGTGGAGCACACCGCCTGACAACCCGCTCAATTAACATAATTCACGGCCCAAATCCAACAGAACCGATCGGGCTGATTCGGTTCGGTCTCAGGTTATAACTCCAGCGTTCAGCCCTGCCAACCACATAAGGACAGACCAAAGTTTCCTACCAGGTAAATGTGGAAAACAGCTGCTCTGACAGATTTGGATGCTGGTGTCACCGTTAAAATAACAAAATGCAGAATCGTTTATGCCCGCATCTCGATGCATTGATCATTTGATTATTTTCCTCAGCTCTATCTATCCTACACCTCCTGGTCGGCCGTTGGGGGTGGGGGAGGGAGTGCGCTCCGGGTTTGGGGGCCACTAAAAGAGAGGTCCGGCCCGCGGGCCGCCATTTGAGTATCGCTGCTCTAGAGGGTGCTAAAAGCAAGCTAAATTGCCATGTGTGCCTCTAATTTTTGTTTTGATCTCAAATTTAGTGCAAACTGTTTGAACCTGGGTGTAATAGAGACTAAAGATGAACACAGAAACCACAGAGTCACCAAGGTGAGGTATAGGCACCAAATGAGGAAACATTAAGAGTTCAGAAGTCTGACTGGAGGAAATGAGGTGAACAGATTCTATTAACTAGTTAATTCATAATAGGTTCTGCTGTGGCAGAAATGCAGAGTTTCACTTCATTAGTATGAAGGACATCTGGTCATGCAGTGGTAACTGCAACTATCACTCTCCAACGGAAGGCAGAGCCAGATGTTTGTGTTTGTTAGTAATGTATCGCATGAGTCACTCGGTTTTCTTTAATTAAACTCAAAATCGTTTTATTTGCCACTGAAACAGGCCGATCTATGGAGTGAATTCAGTGTAAGATGACCACTACAGCCTTGGAAAACACCAATATGGCCATGACTTTAATTTTACAAACACACAGCTACAGTTATCAAAGGCAGCAGCTGCGAGGCATGGACTGCTACCAGATTGTTGCTCCAGATCTCACAAGACTGCACATATTGGTATGTATTATTTTATTATTAATATCAAAAAGCTCAAACTCAAACATTTCTCCCCATTAAAGTATCTTTCTGGAGTTTTCCCCTTTCAGAAATTGTGTGTGATTTTTCTGAAATCCATAAAAGTGATTATCTTATCTTGTACTGTGATATAATGTAAGCAATACGTCTTTGTTTGCTTGCTAAGCACGTCCCCTGCCCCGAAGAGCTCCGTGCAATAGGAAAGTGAGCGCCAACCAGAACTAACCAACAACTACCGCTTAGATGCTTCAAATTTAAGGAATACCTCGGCTGATGCATAGTTGATGAACTTTTCACAGACAAGTAAGTCTCTAAAATATAAATATATGAGAACACAACATGACACGAGAATAATACTCATAAAACAACGTGTTTTTGCTCTGTCGGCTACAGAAGCACATAAACAGAAATGTGAAGTCGCCATCTTAATAAAACAGATCGACTGACTATTTATGTGATATGCTTGTCGGCCACTAGATGGTGCCATCGGATAAGAAATACTCCAGAAAGATACTTTAATACAATAGTTTAAAATACCAGCATGAAATACATTAGATGATTTGCATTCCTTCAAGGTACTTTGATCCTTTACTGTTTTTGATTAAAAAAATAAATCAAAAAGCTTACTTATGCCTTTTCTGAGACTTACCCTGTAAACCAACCAGCAACAGAACACATGTTGTGTTGCAGGTGTGTGTTGTTGCACCTCTGTGTCACTTGTCCTAGAAGATAAATTACTTCTCCTACTGAGGGCAATGAGGCTGTGCAGACTGGTTCACACGCGCACCGCCAACACTGTCGACTTTAGACTCAACAGCCTCTTCATTTTTGTTGATCCCACAAAAATATCTAATAAATCACCGACTGGTGCTGCTGTCAGCAGAACCCACCAAGGATATGCAAACCATGTCCAGATGTATCCTTGAGTAACTCTTCTCCTTCTGTCGCTGCATCATCTAACAACTTCATTTTACTTGGATGTTTAGCCTTTTCATTAAAATTGTGTCTTTATATTTATTTGTTGTGGGGAGGGGTAAGCACATTTTCTTCCCGAGTTTTACCATCTCCTACAGGCTTTAACACACACACACACACACACACACTGTACCTGACATACTCTAAAGGCCATCACATTGTGATGAAAATTGACAGACATAAGATAATCCAGATGCTGCAGAAGGTCAAACCAATCCATCTGATGAAGTCAGTTTGCCCACATCTCTGAGTGGGCTGAGGTCTGGATGTGATTAGAATTATGAAACAGCCAGTAAACTCCACAGTCATATGCTGTGGTGCAGTGTGTCCGTATGACTAACCTCTTTAGATCATTTACTACTACATGTGCTTATAACTGCAGTTACTTCTAAAACCCTGCAGCACATCTTCATCATTTGCTTTCAACAGCAGAGGAAATAATGTTGTCAGTGCATTTATTTCTGTCAAGACAAACAGCAAATAGAGGTGGGACTCCTGCGGTGGCCCACATAGCCACAGACGTACGGTGCAGATTGTTCATGACGCGGCTGCGGTGGTGCAGGCCAGCTGGAGACTGCTGGGTCTTCTGGGAAATCAGCACCAGATTGCTTAGAGATGGGCAAAACATGACGGCACAGAAAATAGGAGGAGGAACAACTTCAAGAATTAACAGCCTGTTGACTAGGCAGGTCTCTGACTTAGGGTGTTAGGGTATTAAGTAAGTTAAAAATGGATCAGTTCATCCGAAATATAAAGCAAATCAAGGTCTTTAAAAGGTTTCTACATGAAACATACCTGATCAAGGCATGTGGAGACTAAAAAAGCATGAATTTATAAACTGAAACTGAAAATCTGTCTTGAGGATGTTTCTGGACTTAAAAATTCTCTTAAATGAGAAAACTCTTTACATTTTTGATCTAAAGCTATAAATTCATATATTATTATTATTATTGTTGTTGTTGTTGTTATTATTATTATTATTATTTCACGATTTTTTCTAAACTTGCAAGATATGCACAGAACTGGGAAATAACATTCAAAAAAGAATTAGGACTATAAAACGAAGGTATTTATGTTGTACAAGAGAGATGTCCACTAGATGTCGCTGTTGTCTATTTTTCTCGGTCCTGATTGTTTCCCTAAAATTAAACGAACATCAAATTTCGCCTTCAGAGAGTTAATTAGAAGGAAACCTTGAAGCGCGTTTTGTGACTTTTTTTGCATAGAAAATAGTGATTATTTTCCAGCAAAGCGGAGGAACTCCTCTAGGCATTAAAACCCAGGCTGCTCGTGGAGGATCTTGCCGGGTTGAGGTGGTCTCGGAGGACAGGAGGGTGCTTGTTGATCGGAATCACAGCCGAGGCGCGTCACCGCGCGTGGGCGGGGCCATCCGGGATGATCGCGCTTGAGTCCTCCGTTCCTCTGCAGTTCGAGGTCCAGTCCGGCAGCAGACGGGAGCGGAAGAGCCGAGCTCCGGTAGTTCTGAGCCCCACTGAGTGATGGGAAACGCGGAGACCCTGGTCGTGTC